ATTTTCCCTTCAATTTCCATTTCACATGCCTTTTCCATATCTTCCTTTTTTCCAAAATAAATTGCAATATATAGTTCGCGATCATCTCTATTTTTTTCAGTTCTGATTGTAATAATATTTTTGTCTAATGCTGAAGTAATATTTTGGATTTTCTCCCCTAAATTTTTTCCCTTAACTACTGATACTTTTACCCAGGCTTTATATTTTTCCAATTTTGCCATTTTTCTCCACTCTTCATGTTCACTCTGGAAGCTGTTTACTGTTACCACTGACTCACTGTCACTAGCCTCTTCTTCACTAATTTCTGCATTATTGTTGTATACTTCTTTTGCTTTGCCTTTATTCAATAAAGTTTCTGTTTCCATATTTGCATCTATTTCTTGACTCTGTTCAATAGTATTGTTGTTTGTTGCTGTTGTTTCCATGTTACTGTTCAAAGTTCCTGCTCCAGAGCTTAAAAGGTTATAACCTGTCTGGATAATTCCTCCTATACTTAAAGTGTTGCGAACTGCTTCTCCACCTTTCTTGCTGATGCTTATTGTTTCATGTTTCTTTTTAGTTCCATAGTTTGCTGTGGTTCGTCTGGGACGTGTACGTTCACCCTGCTTTTCCTCGTTCATGTTTTGTTGTTGTTTATATTATTTGTTTGTAGTGTTTTTTATATTTTCTCTTCCTTGAAAATTCTGGCAAAATGATCGTCAGAAAGAGTTTTCTGATCCTATGTATACTATAAAGAAAATATAAATATGAAGGTTTTATAAATATGGATTTACTCAAAAGAGACTAAAGGAATGAGATTTTTATAAAAGGTGTATGTTATTAAGATGGTATTTCACTAAGACAAGTCATGAAGACATAACTATACTATAAAAGTCATGAAGATGAGAGTAATTAACTAAGAATTATAACAAAGATTCACACAGAAACTATACAAAAGACAAATTCACTAAGAATTTAATAATGTCACTAAGACTAAGAAATAATTCATACAAAATTATTGTAAATCACAAAGAAGTTTATTGATTTTGAGTTGAGAACTAAGAAGAACTTACAAGAACTGAGGAATGAGAGGAAAGGAATTCAGTTCTTTATATACATATTTGAAATTATAATAGATTACACTGTAGACTATACTAATGCATATGCGATTAATTATGCTAATAAAAATATATACTATCTATTATGCTATATTATACGTGTTGCCCAAATCCCAAATCATTTGGGATTTGGGACGCCAAAATCCCAAATTACTAGTATTTGGGATTTGGGATTTGGGATTTCGGCAAAAAATACTAATCATAATTTGGGATTTGGGATTTGGGATTTTGGCATTTGGGATTTTGGCATTTGAATTTTGAATTTGGGTGGCAGGTATATGCTATATTCTAAGTTGTCCATTACACTTTTAATTACACTATTGATTATGCTGTAGACTATGCTATCAATTATACTAAAGATCTACACTCATAATATGTAATAGTTACATTAATTTCTAACTAATTTACATTAATAATTATGCTAATATATACTAAAAATATTAGAATTCTGCAAAAAGAATCGGATCAGATTTTATTTATATTCGGATCTAATCGGATATTAAAATTCTTGATCTGGATCCAGATTTGTTATATACAGATCCAACTTTTAAAATCTGAATCCAATTTTTATTATATTCAGATCGATCAGAATCCAATCTGAATCCATAAATAATATTCGAATCCATAAAAATATTCAGATATTTTTTGTGGATTCAAATATTTTTTTTTGGATTTGAATATTTTTTATAGATTTTGAATTTTAATACTTTATTGAATTTATAAAAATCACCAATTATTTTATTAATCTTTAAATCTTATAAAACTTATACATATAACTATAAAATATTTATAATTCATTTTTCAATAGACCGATTTACCATGATTTTAAACACATACAAGCTCTTACAGTTTTACCTGCTAACTGATTTCTATTGTCTGTAATTAAATTTTTGCTAATTGAAAAACATTGTTCTGATGATACACTGATTGCTAATATTGACAAATAATTACACACCATTTTAGAAAGATAAAGAAATTGGCTCATATTACTTTTCTACCATTCAAGAAAATTCACTGTTTCATCAACTGTAGGTAAAGAAAGATATACTTGAAGTTCATCTATTTTTTCTGTACAGCACTTTTTGAATAAGCATCCTATAATGGAATTTTTCTGTTCAAAAGATTCATTTTCATTTGAAACCTCAGATAAAGTAGGTGCATAAAATGTGTTGTAAATTGAAGAAATTCTAAAAAAGTTAATTTAAATAATAAATTAAAATATTAATAAATACTAACTTTTGATTAATTTCACTTATTTCATTTTGGCTCCATTCATTTTCTTCATAATACAATGTTTTAAATCTTGGATTCAAAATGGTAGCAATAAGATAGGTTTCATTGGTTCTATTATAATACTCTAACAATTTTTCTTTGCACTTTTCTGCTGCTACTTTAATTGAAATAATATTTTCTGTATTAATAATTTCTTTTGCATGATCTATAAGAGTATTATAAAGAGGTATTGTAGTGGAAAGTATAGAATGTGTACTGCTTGACATTATAGTTGTAATTTCTTTAAATGGCTAAAGAAAATTCATTATTTTTTCAAGTTGATGCCATTGATTATCAGCAAGTACATGAATTCTAAAATCTTTATCTGAAAGAGCTATTGAATCTAAAGCCCAAATATTAATTAAAATTATTAATAACAAATTAAAAAAATTAAAATTATCAATTGTCAAATTAAAAAATTAAAATTATTAAAAACATTAATAAAATATTAACTGTTTTCATTTTCAATGCTATTGAAATTATTTCACATGTTGAATTCCATCGAGTTGCCACATCTAAAATTGGTTTCAAATCATTGACTTCAAAAATAACTTAATTTTTCACGTCTCTGAGGAGATGCATGAACTTTAGTTATGAGTTCTCTAAACTATATGATATATTATAACAAAGTTAAATATTATAAAGTATATTCAATTCAAAATTGTCAATATTAAGAACAATTATTAACAAAATACCTGACTCAATTCATTTTTTAAACAAGTCAAAGCACTTTGAACACCCAAATTAATGACATGTGCAAAACATCTGAAAGATTTTTTTATTCATTAAAAGAAATTTCATGTTCTTTTTCTCAATTATTCAAAGAATGAATAAATATATTGTTATTAGATGCATTATCTGTAGTAACTCCTAATAACTGTGATACAAAATTACATATTTATATATATATTATAATTAAAAACAATAAAATAAAAATACCTTTTTTTGAATTGATAAGTTTTCTAAACCTAACACAAATGAATTTTTTATATTACTGCCTGTATGTGAACCATAAATTTGTACAAAATCTACTATAATATTTTGAAGTTGCCATTTGTTATCAATAAAATGGGCAGTTATAGATATAAAAGATTTCATTGAAGTGGAAGCCCAGATGTCTGTTGTGAATGAGATTTTACTTTGCAATTTTTGAAGAACTGTTTGCATTTTAGCTACATTTGTTACATATAATTCCATAATATCTCTTTTTATTGTATCAGCAAAGGGAATTTCTATATTGGGATAAAGTGAATATACAAAGTTAATAAAGTCTTCTTCTTCAACAATAGTAAATGGATGTTGCTCAATAACAATCCACTTGACAAGTTTATTTCTCATTTCTTCTTGATTATATTTCCACTTATAATAAAATATATCATAAAATATATTATTAATAATTTATGAAAAATAAGAAATAAAATCAATAAAAAAACAATATATCTACCTTTGATGGACCAAACATTTCATCAATAGTTATACTTTGTCTTGAAATTCCGACCCATATGGAATGTTGTTTCTTTAAATGTTTCATTAGATTTGATGTACTACCTCCAGAACACATATATGATAAACACAATATTTATATGTTGCTTTTTTACTTTTTTTAAAATCACATGCTTTTTTGAAATGATTCCAAACTTGACTACTTGTTTGAGATCTTTGAGATTTTTAAATAACTCTATTTTCTGGTTGATTATCTTCTTGGTTATCATCATTATTGTCATTATCATAATTATCATTATTAATATTATCATCAATATTATTATTAAAACTATCATCATTATCATTATTAAAAATATCATCATTATCATTATTAAAATTATCATCATTATCACTATTATAATTATCATTATTATCATTATTATCATATTGCTGGCTTGTAATAGTTTGTAAATCTTCACAATCCATTTTTTAAAATCTAAATATAATATAAAAAAAAAGATAACAGTAAATTAAACTAATCAAAAAAAATAATCAGATCTGAATTATCTAAACATAGAAATAAATTAATATAATCTATTATAAAAATAATAAATAAATAAACAAATAAATAATATAATATTGTTACAGGAGTGCAGAGTATTTTGAATAATTTCAAATCAGTCTGAAAGTTTGTATCACACAAACATAATAATACACTCTATTTGCCAGTAGGTCACAGCTAATACAATTGATTTAACTGGCCTATCTCAAAACAGATAATAAATATATATAAATACTAATAATAATCAAATAATAATCAATTAATTATGAAGGCACAGTGAGTAAGGTGGAGTAAAAGCAATTAATACAGTATCAAATAATATTTAATAATATTTCGCAATATTACAACACAAGATATAAGTTTATTAAAAATATAAAATATAAAGTTTTTAAAAGTAAAATATCATTCAACAACAGAAATATTACAGCGTGATGTATCTTTCCTGTTCCTGAAGGAAGTTTACTTTTCTATTTAATATTTATTAAAGTATTTCAAATTATTCTGAATTATTTCTAACTATTAATTAATTAAACTAATTGAACTATTATTAACTCTCACTCTTACTACTGAAACTTATTCCCGACAACAGTCATATTTATACTTTCTCTTTTATTTACATTTCATCCTTCATCCTTTGTGCGTCATCCTTCATCCATCCTCCTTCATCTTTGTACTTCATCCTTCATCCTCGTACGGTCATATCACTTGGGATAACAATTACCTGAATGTTCATCTAGTGTCACAAATTATCATCCCCCGTGACATTTCACCTGATTATCGATTTGTGTCGCCACAACATTATAATCAATGAGGTTTTTCAAAAAGCTAAGTAAGATCGTTTGATAGACATTCATAAAATTGAGTAGTCATTTCTCCGTAAATAAGAATAATAATAATAAGCGTTTAGAATACTTAGAATACAAAAATAAGCGTTTAAAATTCTTATGATTTGAAAATAATCGTTTATAGTGCTTAGAATATAAATGGGTTCATTTATTTATTGTATTACCTTGAAATCGGATATTTTAAAAAAGGTAAACGACTTGCCATATATCAAATTACATAAATTATAGTTGAATATTTAAAAATTGTCATCTCACTTGAATAAGATGCTGGTTTTTGTTATTTTATGTCATTTCTTGGTAGTTAACTTTAAAGGTTGAGGGTATTGATTTAAATATTTCAGTTTGAATTTAGTTTCGGGTAAATTACTTCTCTTATTTTACCCTCAATTTTCGTCCTTTATTTTTAATTTATATATGAACTCGAAAATTTATAAAATTGATCAAAAATTAAATTTACGGAAGAGATGAGGTCTTTATTTCTTCAATTATATTATTGATATTTTTCTCACGCTCACTAACAGTTAATAGCATTAATTTGTTGTGATTTTTCGATCCCCTTTGAGAGGTTGTTTTCTATACCTAAGCGTCATCATTTAATTTGATATTCAATGGGGAATAGTTATTATTCAGATTTTAAAATCCCAAACTTAATGTTTTTTTCTTGTAACAGCGACGTTTTATTAACTACTCCAAGGAGGACTGTATCCTTTCTTTCTATATTAATTAAAAGTCAAGAGTATAGAAATTTTCTTAATTTAATCCAAATTATCAGATATGGTTAATTAAAATAAATATTCTCGATATTAAGTTTTGATATTTTTGATGCATTCAAAAATAGTCTTAACAGTTCGTATTATATGAAACAAATTAGACGAGATAAAGTTCTTTATTCAATAGATTTGGAAATCAGTTAATTTTTGTGACAATGGAGAGAAAAATGAATTAAAGCCAAGTCTTGATTTAAACGAATGCAGATAACAGATTCAACGTTATTCCATTCAAACAAAAAAAAAAAAAAGAATTAAAGTACCATCCGGATTCAGATTAGTTATTGTGGTTGAATACACTACTGTGATCCATTTAACGCATGATTTCCATTATTAATAACAATAGAGGTATCAACTTCTGAATAATTTAGAATTTTTTAATTCTCAAAGCCTGAAGAACATTAGATCATTGTGTTAAATCCATGACATGACTTTGGTTGGGAGTTTTTGCTTTTAAAGACATTTTGCTGTCGTTGAGTTCGGATAGGCAGTTAGAGTATTCATTTCCATTAGTGTAAATGTTAAAGTTAATGCACTCCATAAACTTCATTTCTTATTTCAGCAGTTGAATTTGTGATTTTTGAACAAATTTTGCTTGCATAAGTATTATCTTCCAAAATTTATGCGTCAAAATCAAAGAAATATCAAACACTTGAAATTCATATTCGTTGTTCAACTGTTTATATATCAAGATAAAGATACTATAAGATAAAAACAATATTTTGTGATTTTACATAGAATATTATAAAGTTTTAATAAATTTTTATATAATTTAAGACTACTAAAATTGAAATAGAAATCTGAGCGTAGTAATTAGAGTATTTACTTTCACTTTTATTTGCATCATCTTATGCGAACAAACTTATGTGAAGAGAAAATTCGTCATTAAAAATTTGGTTTAATTTTTTAAGGTGTAAAGGATAAAAAAAATGATAAATTAATAAAGCAACAATTAAAATTATAAAAGTTTATTAGAATTTTAATATTTCGAAAGGAGACTTATTTTAATAAAAGGATAATATTAATATTTATATTTCAACTGTTTTTTAAAAATTGTTTAAGTCCCAACATTTATGTAATAATCAATACGAATCTATCCTCTATTAATTAATTATTATTATTTTCAGTGAAAAATACCAATCATGGATTATGAACATAAATTTATTTACATTAATTATTGTCATCTCATAAGTAGAATAAATATAACAATAATTTATGAATATTTAAAAACAATAAAAACTAACATTTATTTTAAATTGTTTCAATTATTTCCTTTTGAAACTTTAAAAATTTCATATTCTTCAACATTAAATGTAGTTTTGTCAGAAGTAGGTGGATTAAAAATTGGAGTCAAAAATTCAGCAGGACGAATTCGTTTTTATGATATCTTTTAAAAAATAATTTTATCAAATTATTTTTATATCGATCATAATTTTATCCTCCAAGAATTTATCCTGTTCTTTCCACTTTTAAAATAATAATTGTGTTTGAAATTTTATCACAAATTTCACAAATGGTCTTAACAATAAGGCTTCCTTAACAAGCATATGGATTGCTTTCTGCATATTGGATTTCTTTTTTATCAATCCATTCTCATCAGTAATAATCCGAGAAGGAAATGTTTTAGTTAAATTTTTCGAAGTGGCAATATTGTAGAAGAGATTGGTCAATGAATTTTTTATTATTTATATTAATCACAACTAAGACAAGTGACTTAGGAAAATGATCTTATTCTTTAATTACCTTAATTGCTTTATTTCTATCTGTAAGATATGTTTTGTTAGAAAATGATAGGTATAAACATTTTAGCGTCTATAAAGACTTAAAACGTTTTAAATCCTATTTTCTTAGTTAAAAATAGATTATTCACGCACTTTTATTTATCCACATAAAATGACTTGCAAATTAAATAGTGGTTTTAGATATGAAATTTAAATGTCGAATTTTTCAAAACTGATGTTTAGAAATATTTTTAATAAAATTTTCATAAGATTTACTATCCTTTTACTTTGTATTATATTCCTTACTATATTTATGTTTGATTAAAATAAATATATCTAATTAAAAAATTATAGTTAATTCGATGAACCAGAAAAAGTTTAGTCTTAGAAAGCATTATTATTGATATAAACAAAATGAGTTTGATGTTCAACTAATTCTTCAAGGTTAAGTAATCAAGAGTTCAAAATGATCGAATTTTCTAATGAAATTATTGACCATAAAATATACTAAAAATTTTTCAAAAAAAAAGTTATGATTTTCATTGCCGTTTACTACAGGATTGTAAGACATAAGAACGTGTGTTTATCAAGTTCTTCGTATATTATTTCGCCAACATTAATTTGTTTTAACTTTTTCATTATCAATTTGGACATCTCCTCAAAAGAGATCTTCATAATCTTTTCTTTCTCTATTAATTAAGAGATTAAAGGCATAGAAATTTATCACGCTTTTCATTATTTAAACGTTAAATAACCCTATATTTGAATTTGTCTAATGAATTTCTAACTTACTAGGTCAGATAAATTTTAATCACAACCGATTGTAACTTGGTATGGAATATTAAATTCTAAAAATTTGGGGCAATGGTCTTAACTGTGCCTATTAGATGAAACAAATTAGACGAGATTTTGTGTTCTTTAGTCAATATATTAGGATTTATTTACCTAATACTAATCAGATAAATGCAATTAATTTTTGTAACAATGGAGAAAAAAAATGGAGAAAAAAATGGATTAAAGCCAAAGTTATGATTTAAACGAATGCAGATAACAGATTCAACGTTATTCCATAAAGGATTAAAATAACATTTAGATTCAGATTGGTCATTGTGATTGAATTATACTACTGTGAGCGACGTGATTTAGAATTATAATTAAGAAGAATTGATGCATCAACTCCCATCCAATCTTATAAATTCGATTAACAGTGTAATTTTATCTAATTTTAATTTATAAAAGAATATACATTTAAGATTTGAAATTGGTTTGTAAATTTACTATTGACATCTAACGGGAAAATCATTTCATCAATAATAATGAAATGCTTCGAATTTAAAATAGTTCATTTAAATTTTTTCCGTTCATATAAAATTATAGAATATAATAAAACTTGGATAAACTAAAAGTAAAATTTATTTCTTAGAAAACTTATATAAAATAAACAATACTGTAAGGAACATTTAGTAAAGCTCAATAAAAATAAATAAATAATATTTGATTATTAAAAATTCTTTAGAAGGTTACATTTTATATAATTTTATCAATAATTTTGCCAATTATAATAATAATCTCATTGTTTAAATAAATAAATCGTATAACTGATAAAATAACAGTGAATATTATAATATATGAGAATATTATGTTATCATAAATTATTTCCATTTTGAAACTTCAAAGACCTCACATTCTTCCACATTAAATGTATTTTTTTCACCCCTCGTGCTATCAGTGAGTTCTTTAGAAAGAATTTTATCATAAGAAAACATATTTTGCAAGCAACAAGATTTTTTATCAGTTTTCAAATTACCTTCTAAACATAAAGCATTACCAAAAAATATTTTTGAGTCGTGTGAGTAATTAATAATAGCATTATCAAGGTTTGTAACCCTACTTAGAATAGAGTTTTTTAGATTTGTAGTTTTTAATGAAAATGCAAAACTATCTTTACTATAAAGAATGACATTTTTATTTTTATCTAATTTACAAGGATTATATCCTCCTAGAATTTCTCCAGTATCTTCTACCTTTAAAACAATAACTGTATTGGATACTTTATCACAAATTTCATAAATGGTTTTGACATCAAATCCATCTCTGCTTCCTCTGACAAGTAATTTAAATTCATAAGGATTGTTTTCAGTATATCTTGATTCTCGCCTATCAATCCACGATGAAATTTCTAAGGTATGCTCATCAGTGATAATATTTGAAGAAAAAGTAGTTCTGGTTGGAAGTGTTACATTTAAGATTATTCGAGGTGGTAATACTGTTGAAGAAATTTGTTCGTCTGGTGCCAGTAATTTACTGTTGACATCTGACCATAATTTAGGTTCAAGAATTTGTTGATATGGGAAAATCATTTTAAATACATCTTTACCGGAAATACTAAAATATCTAATGTATGGAAGTAATTGTTTCAATGTTGTTTTTAAGGTTAGAAAATTATCACTAGTCCATTCATCGAGGTTGGCTGGTAAAGTAGGATTTTGGGCTTTTCCCCAAAGAATTATATATTGCCAAATTTTACTTTTCTCCAGTTGTAAGTCATCTTTTTTAATAATAGAGATTAATGCATCTTTTGGAAGAGTAAGAAAATCTTCTGACTCAAAAATCGTATTAGGGTATTTAGAAATTATGTTATTACAATAGTCTTGAATAATATTAAAGTTTATCACTTGACAACTTGTCTGGTAAACCCGGGAAAAGTTTAGTTTTAGCCAGGAAGCTTTATTATTGACGAAGTGAGTTTGAAGATGTTCAACTAATTCATCGAGGTTAAGTTCATTGGAAGTAATCAAGAGGTCAAAAACAATCGAATTTTCTAATTTTTCTAATGAAATTATTCCACCATAAATATATCTATTTTATTATTATGTTTGTTTATTAAAGTTAAAGTTTAATTAATTTTCAAAAAAAAAAATAGTCATAAATTCGTGAAATATTGCTTACTTGATAATGATATTGAATATTTCAATAGAAATGTTAGACATTTTAAATACTTTAATATGATTTTCATCGAATGAAATTTCGTTTAATTTTTTTTGAAAATAAGAACTACGGGATTGTAAGATATAAGAATGAACTTTATAAATTTGTTTATTGGATCCTTCGCCAACTTCAATTGTGACATTATGATCAATAGGGTTTTCAAGAAGTTGGGTAAGGTCGCTTGATAAACGTTCATAAAATGTCATTTTTTGTAAATAAACGTTACTAAGTTATAATTTCTGACTACTACAGAATTCCATAAAAAAATGTTATGACTGATGGCGTAACGTGTTACACGTTTGATAATCTTATTACTGAAAGATTAGAAAATCGGAATTAGAAGATGCTCGTTTTACCCGGAAATCCTGCCCTCTCTTCTTTCAAAGCGTCGTCTCTTTTGAAAATAATTCAATCTCATGTTCAAGAGATTGAGTCAGTGTTTGCAATTTTTGTACATTTTGTGCAACCAATAAACAAAGATGCATTAACTACTTTAAGTGATCAGACTTCTTCCCAAAGAAAAATTCTTGACAGCTTACTTTCTTATGGAATTTCTAATGAAACATCAGTTTCGTATGTCAATGATATCATTCGTGAAAAAATTGATGCGTCAATATCAACCAATTCAACATCCGGTTCACCTTTTTTACTTGTATTACCTCGACCTGGAACTATATCTCCGTGGTCTTCAAAAGCTACAAATATCGCGCACGTTTGTAATTTAGAACATTATGTGGAAAGGATCGAACGTGGTATAGCTTATTTTTTGAGAACAAAAAATTCAGTTGACATATCCGAAAAACTTGTCTCTTTTGATCATTGTCTATACGATCGTATGACTCAAATTCTTTTGCAAAATATTCCATCTTCCGAAACAATCTTTAAACATGGGAGCCCTGCGTCTCTAGGATATATAAATCTCATGGAGAATAATGAAACAAAAGTGGACCATAATGTAGCGAGAGAGAAATTAATCATGGGAAACAAAAAACTTGGTCTAGCCTTGGCTGATGATGAAATCGATTATCTTATAGATGTATTCGTGGGCGGTGATTCAGATCATTGTTTGAATAGAAATCCAACAGATGTTGAACTTTTTATGTTTGCTCAAGTAAACTCTGAACATTGTCGTCATAAAATTTTTCGAGCTGATTGGACCATCGATGATGAAAAGAAACAGTATTCATTATTTGATATGATAAGAAATACTCATAAAACTCATCCGGAACGTACAATTTCTGCTTATTCAGATAATGCAGCAGTTTTACAAGGATTTAATGCTACTAGATTTTCCCCTGACAGCAGTAAACAATTTGAATACACGTTAATCGAAGAAGATGTGCATATGGTCGCAAAGGTAGAAACACATAATCATCCTACAGCTGTTTCACCTTTTCCTGGAGCTGCTACAGGATCTGGTGGTGAAATTCGTGACGAAGGATCTGTTGGTCAAGGTTCAAAACCTAAAGCCGGTCTAACAGGTTTCAGTGTTTCGAATCTTTTGATACCTGGTTTTATTCAACCTTGGGAAATTGATTTTGGGAAACCATACCATATTTCTACTGCTTTAGATATAATTATTGAAGCACCCCTAGGTGGAGCAGCTTTTAATAATGAATTTGGTAGACCAAATATTGCAGGTTATTTTCGTACGTTTGCACAACAAATTCCAATATCTGAAGGAGGAAATGAAATTCGTGGATATCATAAGCCCATTATGATTGCTGGAGGGGTTGGAACTATTCGACCAAATCACGTGTTTAAGAAAAAAATCACACCTGGAGCTCACCTATTCGTTTTAGGTGGTCCCGCAATGTTAATTGGTCTTGGTGGTGGAGCTGCTTCATCTATGGCTAGTGGCGTAAGTACTGCCAATTTAGATTTTGCATCCGTACAACGTGATAACCCCGAAATGCAGCGTCGTTGTCAGCAAGTGATCGATACTTGCACTGCTTTAGGTGATGCCAACCCAATTCAATCAGTTCATGATGTTGGCGCCGGTGGTTTATCAAATGCAATACCTGAAATTGTTAACGATAGTGGTTTAGGATGTGTTATTAAATTACGAGATATTCCTAATGATGACTTAAGTATGTCACCGTTGGAAATTTGGTGCAATGAAGCACAAGAAAGATATGTGTTAGCGGTTGACCCAAAAGAAACCGAATTATTTCAAAATATATGTCAACGTGAGAGATGTATTAATGCAGATATTGGGATCGTCACGGAAAAACAAGATTTGATAATTCAAGATTCCTTATTGAATTCTACACCTATTAATTTACCAATGGCTGTTTTGTTTGGTAAGCCACCAATGATGTCCCGAAGAACAAAAACAAGAAAGATGACGCGTATTCCTTTTGATACAAGTTTGAAGAGTTATCTCCCTAATATTCAAAACGAATCTCAAGTACTTGAAGATGTTATATCTCGCATAATTCGCCTTCCATGTGTAGCTTCAAAATCATTTTTAATAACTATCGGTGATCGGAATGTTACTGGATTAGTTTCACGTGATCAAATGGTTGGACCATGGCAAGTACCAGTCTCAGATGTTGCCGTCACTTCAACTTCATATGGTATTGGAGTCATCACAGGAGAAGCCATGGCTATGGGAGAAAGAACTCCAATTGCGTTAATTTCGCCAGCTGCATCAGCACGCATGGCTGTTGCAGAGTCAATTACTAATATTGTAGCCGCGAATATTGAATCGATTTCTCATATACGCCTTAGTGCTAATTGGATGTGTGCGGCAAATCATGATGGGGAAGGGTCGGGATTATATGAAGCAGTAAAAGCAATTGGTTTGGAACTTTGCCCTGCTTTAGGAATTAGTATTCCAGTTGGAAAGGATTCGATGTCAATGAAGATGAAATGGCAAGGAGAAAATGGTATTACCAAGGAAGTTACGGCTCCTCTGAGCTTGATTGTTTCTGGATTTGCCCCTGTTATAAATACTCATAAAACTTTGACGCCTCAACTAAGAATAGAGACCAAAGAACAGACTATTCTCGTGTTTTTGGATTTATCAAATGGCAAACAGAGAATTGGCGGATCAGCAATCACACAAGTATATCAACAAATTGGAGACGAAGCACCTGATGTAGAAGATGCGAACACGATTAAAGCATTCTTTCAAGGAATTCAAAATGCTCGTAAAAGTGATGACGAAATTATTTTAGCATATCATGATAGATCAGATGGTGGTTTGTTTACTACTATTGCTGAGATGTCATTTGCAGGTCATGTTGGAGTGAACATAAATCTTGAAAACATCTTACAAGAAAATGATATTATTAGAGCACTTTTTAATGAAGAGCTTGGTGCTGTGATACAAATCAGTCAAAAAAATCTTGAAAAGGTAAAACAAATTTTTAACGAGGTTGGATTTCCTCTAAATCATTTACATTGTATCGGTGAAGTGACTACTTCAACCAATGACATTACAATTAAGTTAAGAGATCAAATTTTATATAAAATTTCTCGGGTTGAATTACAACGTATGTGGTCTGAAACTTCTTTTCGCATTCAATCTTTACGTGACAATAGTATATGTGCTCAAGAAGAATTTGATAACATATTAGATATAAATGATCCTGGTTTGCAGTATAAATTAACTTTTGATACTTCCGAGCATATCACTTTGAAATTTATAAAATCACCAGAAATTCGTAAACCAAAAGTAGCAATACTTCGAGAACAAGGAATCAATGGTCAAGCAGAAATGGGGTTTGCATTTCATCTTGCCGGATTTTCTGCGATCGATGTTCACATGTCTGACATTATATCAGGAAAAATTAGGTTAAATGATTTCAAGGGTATAGTTACTTGTGGTGGATTCTCTTATGGCGATGTACTTGGTGCTGGATCTGGTTGGGCCAAATCAGTTTTATTTAATTCTAATGTGCGAAAAGAATTTTCAGAATTCTTTTGTAATCGACAAGATACATTTGTATTGGGTGTGTGTAATGGTTGTCAATTTTTGAGCCAATTGAAAGAATTAATTCCTGGTACAGAAAATTGGCCATTATTTAAAAAAAACAAAAGCGAACGATTTGAATCTAGAACTAATTTAGTCGAAATTATAAATAGATCAAATGATGGCAATACTAGCACACAAACAACAACGAAACCTTCGATATTTTTCACGGGAATGTATTCATCAATATTGCCAATTGCTTCCTCACATGGTGAAGGTAGAGCTGAATTTTCAAATAAAGAACAATTGGAACGATTAATAGCTCAAGATCTTATTGCTTTAAAATATGTAGATAATTATGGAAATCCTACAGAAAGATATCCATTTAATCCGAATGGTAGTCCACTTGGGATTACTGGTGTGCAAACTCCAAATGGAAGAGTTTTGGCTATGATGCCACATCCTGAGCGGGTTTTGCTTAAAGAATCGTTTTCATGGTATCCTGTGGAACAGGGAAAAAGTTGGGGCGAAGTAGGACCATGGTTAAGGATGTTTAGGAATGCTAGAATTTGGGTTGAATTATCCTCTTAAAATAACAATAGTAATAAAATAATTTCTTTACTTACATAACAAATAAGTTGTCGATCAATACTCAATCAATAAATCAGTTCAGTTTGTGATTAATTATAAATTGAAATTTTTTATTATAATATTTCAGAGCTACATAAGACAATTCACTAAAAATGTGTACAAATTTTCTATAATTTTATAATAACATAATCTGTTTGTAATTTATCTGATGGAGTAAAATAAAAAAAAATATTATAATAATCCCTGCCTGTATTTATAAGCTAAAATGATCAAGCAATATAGGTGCAAAAGAAAATCTATAATCTGGCTTAAAAATCCTAATTATTTTTGAAAATGATTGCCACACTGGGCAAAATTAAATTTAAGTGGGCAAAGTTAGGGTTAGGGGTTGACCAGGGAATTATGTAATTTTCCTGGTAAAAATGCATGAATTATTGTTTGGCATTAGAACATTTTTGTGTTTTACTTGTATATTTTTTTATTGCATTATACAAATATTAAAAATATGAATTAAAAACAAGACAGAAAGTTTATAGCCGGTAATAAAATATATTTTGTTCAGTTTCGCAAGTTTCGCACATTCTATTCAACTAAATTTATTTTTAAAATCAATAACAAAGTGTTATGACAGAATGAAAAATATAACAAATTCTTGTGTATTTCCTGATTTTAGAATGAATCTTATTTATTTCAGGATCTTAATTATCATATAGTAGGTTTCTTTTCTGCATTTATTTCACTTGCCGACATCGCAACAATGACAATGAAGAACGTTAGGGAAATTAATTGACGTATATTACGAAATAATCCATTTTTTTTTACTTCGGCCGCGATTTACGCAACAGAGAGCGATTTTCTACTAAGGTATTTCTACGACAGATCGAAAGCCCTAGTTATTGGCTACAAGATGATATGCGTTTCATTTCTGTAGCCAGCATTGTCAAGGGACAGTACTTGGTAAAAAAATATTTTTTAAAACGTGAATAACGCAAAGTTTTATTATAAAATCTGCTTTGAATCATTAATTAAAGTTGTTCAGAATCGATTTTCGCATATAACTATAAGGTTCTTATATATATTTGTGAGCTATTTAAGGGTAGGGACAGCGCGGACGCGGACATGGGACAATATTGGGCCTGTAGCATCGGTATTCGCGGAGATACGTTTAAAGTCGAACGTTCGTAAAATTTTCCGAAATTTTTCGTAATTCTGGCGGACGTAACAAAATTTTCGCCAAAATTACATAATTTACGGTAGAAATTTTCACGACGTTCACTTGAACACGAATATCTCCACGAATATCGATGCTACAGAAATGAAACGCATATAATCTTGTAGCTAAGAACCAGAGCTTAAATCTATAATAAAAATACCTTAGCATAAAATTTCTCCCTATCGCATAAGTCGCGGCCGAAGTAAAAAAATTTTTTGGCGTAATATTCCGTAAGTCACGTGAAATTCTGTAATATTACATATTTTCCTGATGAAAAGGTTATATTACAAAATCAATTACATTATATAAACGAATTCCCCCTATTTCTTAAATATATATTCAATTTGTATATGGATCTGAATAATTTTATGAATGATGATAATTTACGTGTGCATAATATAATTATATGGCTATTCTATAAATAAAAGTTAATGGCTATGATTTTGCGTAACTATCTTTTTCATTTTTCTATGTGATTTGCATAAATCTAGAGAACAACGTACCTGGATTCTCTAATCAAGGACTTACTATTGACTCCACCGAAAGTTCATGCAATTAATGGAGAGGAAGTTTCCGTTGGGATGCCGATACACAGTGAATCCTCTATAAATGCACTCCTCTGTAGTACATCTCTCTTTAAATGCATCCGATGTTCCATTATAAAATTCCCTCCATAAATGCACACTAATGGTGGTGCATTTGTTGGGGGTCACTGTACATCAAATACTTTCATCAGCTTTTCTCATTTAGATTAGTAATAGTTCCTTTTCAGGATGCATAAATTACTTGTCTCTTTACTTTTCATTCTTTTAATTTACCATTTACCATTTGCAAAATCCCATACACGGTGATCATACTAGCTATCATTTAAATTCTGATATGCCAGTAGTGCGGGTTTTTTGCCTATGTATATAAAAAAAGACACCAGAAGTATGCTTATCTTTGTCATTACTATTAAGGTTCTTTTTATCGATTCATATAACAAAAAAATGTATTTTAGTGGTTGAATGAAAAATGGGTTAAATAAATCTTTTAAAATACTTGCTTCAGGCTAGTTGTTGATTAGTTACTATTAGACATTTCATTCCTAAGATAGAAGCCCTTAATACTTGTGCAATTCTTTCTCTCCGACTGTGTCATTTGGAAAAACACTATTCCTCTTAAAGTGTTTGATCCCTTTAAGAAATTCTACATGAATTAATAAATACATAAATAAAAATTTTTTACTTAGACTCGGAAGCACTAACAAAATGGGAGTTTACTTTTCTAATGATTTTTCCGTATAACGCGATGAATATTATGATTAACAGATTTTCTTAACAATTCACGCCATTCTTATAAAGAATTACTTGAAATGCTACGTATCCGTCACCTATCAGATAGTATATAAGTGAGCAGAAGATCGGGTACCCGATATGTGTGAAAAAAATTCTACGTCATATATCGGGTACCCGATAGATGTGAAAAAATTCTGTAAAACTTGTTTAATCTAATGTTTGCATAATAAATAAAATTGTTTATTAAAGTAGAAGACATATTTATCCTTTCTTTTAACATAATAGAATGACTTTGACATTATTATTATACATGCATCATAGAATGAATAAAAGACTTGAGACATTTTAGTGAGATTAAGTACCGGTATCTTCTAAATATTGTTAAAAACGAGTACAATTATAATATAATTTTTTTGCATAGCAGTATTATTAACAGCAATAGTTGACATTTTCTTTATTCAATTAATTTAATTAAACCTGTGCATCTTGATAAAATATTAAAAGATGTAAACATAAAAATTCGTGAAAAATAAAAAACAAAAATAAGTAAAAGATATTTTTTAAATCCATGATAAAATGATAAACCACGTGCAATAATTTAAAAAATAAATAAACAAAAAATTTCTCTCAAAAGTTTACGAGTTTCACAAATTTCAATTGAGTATTATACACGTTAATTGGATAGTTAAAGAATATTCCATTTTCTTTTTCTTAGAATTAAATTACATATTTAGCGTTTGCATCTTTATTATTATTATTATAATTTGTATAAAAATAAGATTTTGCGTGGTTCGATTATGAAAAAGAAGTAAACATTCGTTGATGAATGCATTTTTGTTGAGATTTTCAAGTGCTCAAACCTATATAAATAACAAATTAATAATTGGGTTATTTGTTAAATAAATCAAATCATGAATCGTATGATAAAGTTGTGTTACGCGTTTTTACTTCAAAAGATGAACAAGCCTTAATTTTAAATCCGAATAACGTAAATAAATTTCAAGAATATATATCATATCTCTTGCATATTGAATATTTAATTATAGAAAAAATAACAAAATAACTGACACAAAAGGATAAATTTCTTCTTATTTTTTTTTAATAAGAAAAATGCTTTGAAAAGTCTTTTTTTGTTAATCAATATGCATACAAAAATGTATCTAATATCAAATTCTAATTTATAACAATAAAACATAAGTAAAAACTGAAGAGAATAAACTTATAATAAAACAAATAAAAGACAACTCAGAGAATAATTTTTTTATGAATTGAATTTCAATTACTTAAACAAGTTAGCATGTGAAAGAAACAAATTTTACATTTTTGTAAATCATCAAAGAAGAAGTTGGATCGATCAAATATTAATAGTGTAAACATCAATGCATTCATGCATGGTTATGCTGAAAATCTAAATTAAAACCCTGACATCATATCTGCACTAATTACAGTTAGTAATAGTTTAGTAACAACAAATACTTTAAATTTGTAAAATTACTTTTACCTAAGCATTATCAAGTCGGAAAAATATTATTCTGAAAAAAAGAAAAAAAAAAATATAAGAGATACCTCCGGATACTTGTTGATTGATTCAACAATTACTTTACATTTGTTAATATTCCTTTTACCTAAAATTACTTAAGCATTATCAAATCGGAAAAATATTATTCTGAAAAAAAGAAAAAAAAAAAATATCGGAGGTACCTCCGGATACTTGTTGATTAATTATAATTATCAATTATTCGAACGGGAAATCTCAGAACTTTTTAAAAAAAATATTCCTGAGCCTCTTTGAAGGATTAACTAATTTGGTAATATGTATGTAAGTTTATTTGCCAGATAATATTTGATTACAAACAATTATTTATTACAATTTCCCTTTTTCTTGGTTTTTTTGTTTATTTATTATTATTGTCAGTTAATTTTTAAGAAAACACAAATTACACCAATCTTTTATATAAAGTTATATGAGAATTGTTCTCGCAGCAAATTATACCAAATTAAATTCTTTGAGAGTAACAAAAACAGTGGCACTTTTTAATTATCTTAAATTATTTATTTGTATCTTCTTTTATTTTTTTCTATTTAAGGAATAAAGAAAGAATTTTTTATGGAGAACCTGCATATTGTAAGATAATACAAAATTCCTTATCTATGCCTAGGATGTTAGGTCATACATGATCAATCATTGGGATTGCTTTATTAAGAGAAGGCAATTGCATAGACGTGTGTGACAAATAATCATTGAAAAAAATTTCCAGAATTATTATGGAAAATATAGGATAAAAAAAAAATAATTCTAATTGTGTTGTATTTCTTTCAACAAAGATAAGTTCTAAAAAAAGAGAAAATCGTAAATATTGCAATTACTTATTTTGTTCTCATTAAACAGATGATACACGACGATTCATATTCCGAAGAATGGAAAAAAATTCTCAACAAATTATTATTATTCGTGAGAAATTAAAAGAACGAATCAAAACATAATAATTTTTATCTGATCTGATGTTTGTTTTCAAAGATTTTTTTTTCATTTTCTACATTCAGATTTCTCTAAAAGAAAATATCAATTTATATTCTTGTGAAACATTTTTGTAACAGAACAATTTTATATCATATGCCAAATTTAATAAATGAGTCATTGTTGAAGAGATTAAAGAAATTGCAATTATAACGAATAAATGAAGGACGAATATAAATGTAATACACTTATGCATATAAAAAATAATGTTGAAAAATTTTAGGCATTCAGATTAACAAAAATAGTTCCATTTACCATATAATTGATATTATTTTTTTACCCGGTACCAATAAATTTATTCTCGTGAAATATTTTTACCAATTATTACCATATGACAAGGAAATTGCTATTATGACAAATAAAATGAAGGACAAGATGAAATAAAAGGTAAGACGAATAATAAATGTAATACACTTATAAAAATCATGTTGATAATATTGAAAAAAAAATTTTTTTGGCATTTAGATTAACAAAAATAGTTTTCATTTGCCATGTTTTATTTATTTATTTTTTTATCCAAATTTATTCCCGTGAAACATTTTTACCATATGGCAAATCTAGAAGAGATTAAAGGAATTGTAATTATAGCAAATAAAACGAAGGACGAGATGAACTAAAGGGTAAGACGAATAGTCAATGTAATACACTTATAAAAATCATGTTGATGATATTGAAAAAAATTTTTTGTTGGCATTTAGATTAACAAAAATAGTTTTCATTTACCATATAATTGGTATGTTTTATTTACCCGATACCCACTCAAATTTATCCCCATGAAACATTTTTACTATATGACAAATTTAAAAGAGACTAAAGAAATTGCGATTAGGACAAATAAAATGAATAAAGGATAATAAATGAAATAAACTTATAAAAATCAAAATGATATGATATTAAAAAAAAAAAAAATTAATTGGCATTTTGATTAACGAAAATGGTTTTCATTTACCATATAATGAGTAATAATGTTATGTTTTAATTTACTTGATACCCACTCAAAATTCATTCCCGATTTAAAAAGAGTACAATTAGTGAATTTCTTTCGATTCCTCTCCTTTTTTCTTTTTTTTTTGTGTACGCCTTTTTTTTTGTGTATATTAAATATTTCCGATATAATTTAAAATCGTGAAAATTACGAAAGATAGTTGGTGTTGGATGTATAAAAAAGTAAACAAATGAATCTTCTCAATAATCATAAATATGTAATTTCATTAAAGAAATAACTTGAGAAAACATTATTAAAAAGAATTGAATTCAAGTTACCTAAATAGTTCTAAATTTGGATTGCATTTATTAAATATTTTTTCATTTGCATTAAATTCATTTCCTTCCATAAATGCTTCGTAATTTAATAATGCATTGATAATAATAATGAAAAACAAAGCATATCCGGAAAAGTATTGGCGGAAAAAAAGTCGCGAGAATTTGTTTTGTTTCACAAATAATGATTATATTTGTCCGCTATTTAAACAATATATATATATATATATATATTCTTTAAAGGAATGATATATATCATCATTTAATGTACAAATAAAAATGCGATAAAATGTAGTTCCCACGCGAAATTTGAGTAACATACGATATATAGTTAATTTTTCTTTGAAATGTGTTTCTTAGGGATTACCTTATTAATTCGAAATATGTTCAAATTTATCTGAAACATAATTTAGCAGATGAACTTGGTAAAGCATAAGAGAAGAAATATTGCAAGTAAATAGATAATGAATATAATATAAGTGAATATATAATGAATATTAATGCAATAATGCAACATATGATAAGAGATATTAATGCGATAGTAATATTATAAAAAGATTAATAATGCAAAATAGTAAATATTTCCAAAAATATAATAATAATGGCATTATATTATTTGTTTTTTATTATGTACTACTGAGAAAAAAAAATATTTTTGTTTCAAACACATGATAAAAACCAAACATTTATATTTGTTACACCAGACTATGCGTATGATATTTTTAAAGTATTCGAAAAGTAAAAGAGCAACTCCCTCCCCAAAAATAGACAGAAATTGAGACATTGATAATTCCTTTTATTGTTGTCATTATTTAACACGGTTTGAGTACAAATTTTTGTGCAACTAAATAAAATGTATAATTGATTTATCCTTTTTTATTTTATCTTTTTCCTCTCGTATTCCCTTTTTTTTTTTTTTAAATTAAAATGTTAATGCTCAAATTATTTATTACTATCTCTTTGGGAAAGAATTTTACCCAACCTAAATACCAGATAAACAAATCTCAAACTAAGTAACATGAATAAAATATTATATTATATTCTATATTCTTAAGATTATTTGTTTAAAGTAATTTTATTATCAGAATTTGTATCTCAAACATCATATTTAGTACAGTTAGTAAACAAGGATTTCTTTAACTAAATTTATTTTATCATTAAAAAATAAAATATATTATCCATTATAAAATCTTTTTAAATCTTTTTTTTTATACTGTTGTTGTTTGGATGCTGGCTCATTAACCCCCTGTTTTTTTTTTTTTTTTTTTTAATAATAAAGTAATCTCAATAGTGATATGCATTACTTGCAATTTTTATGTTAAATTTAATATTAATTTATTAGAAATAACAAATATAATAATTTATTAAATATTCTTTCCAATAATTTATAAATGCCAACTTTGAACAATATCAATTTTTGTACTATATAACTTGTACTATAGATTGTTTATTGTATTGCATTTAAAAAATGTGTTGTGTACATCTTGTTATCCAATTAAATCCGAAGTGGATCTTTAATACGGAGCGGAATATAAAAATAACATGTCATGAAAATTATTTTGTTAAAATAAATTAATTGGAAATTTAAATTCTTTAATTTATACTATAACACATAATATATTTATATTATAACGTATCATAAAAAAAATTGTATAAATTCGCACCATCTCACCACAGAAAAATAAAAGATATCATTCAATATAAATTAAATTATTTAAATTAAATTTCATTTGATGATAAAATCATCAAAAGATTTCCTTTCTTCATAAAAACTAAATCATTTAAATTAAATTTCATTCAAAAATGTCAAATTTTAATTTTGAGATCCCAAAAAATAACAATCCCGTTTGGCCAATCATTATGGAAACTGGTGAAAAAACAAATGGCGAGGAAGCTAAAAAAATTAAACAATTGATACGAAGTGCCAACGCAAATCAAGATGTTGTGCCTCTTTATCAGGTCCCGTTTCCTCCAGAATTAAAAGCGGAAGATCTAATAGGTCTCAGCAATAATTCAAAAGAAAAACGAAAAGCACCTAACCAATTCTTTATATATAGAAAATGGTATACCATCTGTAATGCAAATAAAGGAAATGCGCAAACAGCAATTTCTCCTTACATTAGTATTCAATGGAAGAAAGAGCCTCCACATGTAAAGGCTTATTATAAAAAATTGGCTGTGAAGGCGAGTCGATTGTTCAAAAGTATATATGGAGAAGTTGGAATATGCATTAAAAATTCAACAAATGGTAAGCAAAAAAATTATTATTTAATAATTCCTTAAGTATTAAAAGTATTTTCATAATGATTTATTTTTTTAACATCGATTTCCCAAAATTTTTATAGTAAAAAAATCAAAGGTCAAAAAAAACAATAAGATACAAAACCAAAAATCACCTAAAATACAACCAAAAAATAAAAATGAAGATGAACATAAAAAATTTGACTCAACTACCCAAGCTTTATTAATATCTACAAATTCAATACCTCCAAACTCAACCCCTATAGCTCCATGTTTATCATTAAATCCCGAAGCTGCTTCATACCCATCTCCGTCTCCAGAATCTTATGTTTCATATTTATCCCCAGAATCTTCAAGTGTTTCATATTTATCTCCACCTCCAGAATCTTCAAGTGCTTCATATTTATCCACAGAGCCTTCAAGTGCTTCATATTTATCCCCAGAATCTTCACATTTATCTCCCGAATCTCTATATGTTCAATTCGAACCTTCTTCACATCCAGAATCTTTATCTCCCAGATCTCTATATGTTCAATCCGAACCTTCTTCATATTCAGAATCTTCATATCCAGAATCTTCATATCCAGAATCTTCATATCCAGAATCTTCATATTCAGAATCTTCATATCCAGAATCTTCATATTCAGAATCTTCATATCTAGAATCCTCATATCTAGAACCTTCATATCAAGAATCTTCATATCTATATACTCCTCAGCAATATGAAACATATAATCACATGTGTCCTATAGATATTAATATTAACTCATCTGCATTATATTGTCACTTGTAAAAAATAGCATAGCTTAGTATGGATTATTCAATTATTCAATATATTTATTCGTTAGAATTATAAATTATTTGAATTATTTGTTATTTTTATTTATTTTATTTAATATGTATACATAATATTAATAAAATTCTCTTTTGTTCATGTTGACCATTGACATTCAATTTTATTCTCTAACTCTCTAATATGATTGTTATTATTGTTTAAAGTACATCAAAATACAAATATCATTACAATTTTATTATTTCAGTGAACAATATTTTGATATTTCTCAATTTAATTGATATTTTCTTTGAAATAATTGAAATATTTCTGATGTTTCTAACGTGCACAATTAATTAATTGAGCCAGAATTTTTATTCAAAATGGAATTTTAACCAATTGATCCTTTTGATTTGATCTGAAAACACGTCGATTGAAACAGCAAAAGATAGCAAAAAAAAAAAGTCTTTGTATTAGTTATAAAAATATTTTGTAAATAATGTGTTTAACAAACAACAACTGAAAATTCCATTGCATCTGTCTTATGATTTAACTGAAAAGATTATACAATTATAGTTAGAATATTTCTTAATAACATTATGAAAAATAATGCTACGCGATAGATGCGGCGGAGTTCACATTTCCGCGTTTATTAAAAAGTTCAAACGAGTTATGCAAGTGGCGTGCAAACAAATACATTGTTTAATTTACAAATTAAGGTTGATCAACGAAACCCGTTTTAAAAAATATTTTAATCTTTCATTTTATGGCATTCTAAATTTAAAAATAAATAGATAAGGTGAAACGGGCAAACTCGTATAGAAGACAACCGATATTGTAATACTTTGTTTAGAAGTTACTAAAATATTACTGCTAAATATAAATAAATAAAAAATAAAAATAAAATATTCATGTTATAATTTGTTTTGCCAATCTTATCATATAATTATAATGATAACGTGAATAAAAGAAATCCGTTTAATTTTAAAATAATTATGTATATGACTCAGATAAAGATCTCTTTCATTTTAAATAAATCATAAATAATAAAAACAATATAAAGTGAATATTATAAATCTAAGAACATTATTTTTTATAAATTATTTCTTTTTGAAACTTCAAAAACTTCATCCATGATGAAATCTCTAAGAAATTATCGATAGTCTCATCAAAGGTTGACAGGTAAAGATGAATTTTAAGCTTTACTTTCCTCCAATTACAAGACACCTTTTTTAATAATAGAGATTAAAGCATCTTCTGGAAGAGTTAGAAAATTGTCCGACTCAAAAATAGAATTGGGATATTTGGCATAATGTTATTCCAAAATTCTTTAATAATATTAAAGTTCTTCACTTGACGACTTGTTAGATAAACTGAAAAAGCTTAGTCCACATCATTATTGAAAAAGTAAGTTTGAAGATGTTCACCTAATTCACAAGGTTATGTTCATTGGAAACAATCAAGAGGTCAAAAATGATCAAATTTTCTAAACTTTCTAATAAAATTATTCTGCAATAAATAGATCTATATTATTTATTTATTAATTTTCAAAAAAAAAAAATAGAATAAAATATTTCAGATTGTTTTGGTGATTTTAGAATAAAAAATAGATTTAATTAATCGAAAAAAAGGAAAATTGAATGAATTGGTTAAAATATTTAAAATTCAAGATTAATAGAACTCGTATAAAAGATAACCAATATTTTAAGGATTGGTTTGTTTTGTGCCAGCAATTTATTGTTGCAGGTTCAAGAATTTGTTTATATGGGAAAATCATTTCAAAAACATCTTTTTAAGGTCATGAAATTATTACTAATCCATTCATCAACGTTAGCAGGTAAAGGACTTTTCTCATTGAATTATATATTGCCATATTTCACTTTCCTCTAGTTGTAAATCACCTTTTTTAATAATAGAGATTAATGTATTTTCTGGAAGTAAGAAAATTTTTTCGGACTCAAAATAGTATTAAGGCAAATATTTAGCAATTAAGGTAGAGGTAAAAGATAATGCTTAATAAAACAATCGCACGAACATATGGTACATAAATCACCTGATTCCAATCATTGAATTACAAGATATCATCGTTAAAGTGACCTTTTTTTTAATTGACGATTAATTAAACTCAACTTTGTCGCGTAATATTGCATAATGTCGTGTAATTGGTCGCAAATTATAAAACTTAATCTATTTCCAAAGTATTAGCAGAGGATATTATATTTTAACGATAATATTTCATGTGTCACAGAACATTAACACAATTAATTCTCGTCACGTTTATCATCAAATTCACAAGTACTCGCTTCCTAGTTTATTTAAATAATTCACAATTTACTGTAATAAAGTTTATTTGATTTTTTTTACAATTCAACTAGTAAATTTAATCATTGATAAAAATGATTAAAGCCAAAGAAAATGAACCGCGAAAGGAAAAATAAAAAAAAAATAAATCCAAAAATAAAATTCAGAAAGCGAATACCAATCATTTAAATTCTATTCAAAATGCTCTTAAAGTACTTGCTAGCCCTGAACATCCTAGTGTACGTGCAACTGCCCGAATATTTGGAATAGCAGAGGCAACTCTTAGTCGTTAAAAATAATGGTTTTCTCAAACGTCCTGGTCATGAAACCATCCCGAGTACCTATGAAGAAATACAACTAGTCCATTGTGTCATGGAGATCGTGCACAATGATAAACGTAAAGCTTGGTGGTCAATTTTATGAAAGACCAGCCAGAGTTATCTTTTCGCGTATCTCAGGCCTTGTCAGAAGTACGTGCGCAAATGATCATTCATCAAATAATTTAAGAGCATTCAAAAGATGCTCGCCAGGTTCATAAAAGTCTCTCATGGCAACGTAAACGATTGTATTTCCATTGCTCCGACAATTTTTGCTGCTGGTTAATATGTTCCTTCATCAATTATCTACAAAAGTGTCCGAGTGATCTCAGGTCTGTTGACTGGAGCTCCGACTGGTAGTGTTATCTCCGGGTACGCAAAAGAAAATCTCTTAAATGTATATCGAACACTTCATTAATTCTATTCCACCTATTTGCCCAGTTTTTCTAATATTTGATGGTGATAAAAGTCACATTAACTATTTAAGTGTTAATTTTTTTCACGAAAATGTAATTTCTTATACAGTATGCACTTCCGTCCCACACTACGCATATTCTCCAGCTAAACTTGAAAAGAATACAGTAAAGGCTGTGATGAGCTGTATAGTAGTAGTGTTGAGCTAGCAACAAACGCACATTTTCTAAGGTATTTGGACAAGAAACTTAAACAATTATTAACACCTACATATAAAGCTACAGAAATCTGGCCTTTTAATTCTGATGCAATTAGTTCCGATCGTTTTGATTCTTCGTTAGTGACTGAGCGACTTGAATTACCTTCAGAAATAGACGATATATCTCCAGAAATCGACGAAGTACCTCCAGAAACCGATGAAGCATCTCCAGAAATAGATGATGTACTTCCAGAAATATCTAACCAACCCATATATATTCTACTCGAGCTAGCATTGTTAGGAAGATAGAACTGTTAGAAGAAGAATCGTGTCTCTTAGAAAAGAAAGTAAATTGTTAAAAGAAGAACTTTCATCACTAAAAAGGAGTAATTCATTAATACGAATATCCCACTTTTCAACTTCCACAATACACTAATGAATTAAAGACTAGCGATGGCAATGCTTTAGTCCGACCAAAAAAGAGAAGGAGAACCTTGAAGTTTGCTCAGATGAAGAATCATTGCAGGTATTAAAAGAAGCAGATGAATTAGCACAACAAAAAAAAACGAGGAATCTCAAAGGAAACGAGCCGAACGAGAACTAGAAAGAGCACAAAAAACAAAATAGTATCTCTAAGCATATATTAACATACTCTTATAAAAATTATTCTGAAAAATATAGAATATTTGTTATATTGCTTTGAAAATCTGCAAAAATTTGTAATTTTGAGAAAATTTCATCTTTTTTGATTTTTAATGTTAAATAAATCACAAACAAAATTTGAGAATTCACGAATGTCTGCTCACCCTTAAATTATGTATACTGAACTTATTTATTTTCAAATTATTCAATAAAAAAAATTTTTTTTAATCAATGCTCCGATTGATAGAATGATTAAGTTAACTTTTTATAACAAAGGAACTACGGATTGTAATATATAGGAATGAACTTTATAAATTTGTTATCAGGCTCTTCGCCAACTTCGATTGTGGCATTAAAATCAAATGAGTTTTATTTAAATGTTTTTAAATGGATGACCACAGACCACCAATTATATGACAAATGAATGTATAGATTTAATTTATTGTTTAAAATATAAAAATACAGAGAGATTTATTATGATCTCAATGATAGAAGGTTCTCTTATTAGACCTAAATTTTTATTGATCTACTTGTATACAATGTATACAATCACAATTGCAACCTTTTTCTGAAAAACCAATTATCTTTTCGTATTCATTAAGGTTATTATTATAGCCATAATATTTGTATCGTGTAGTTTTTTAAAAATTTTCGTAAAAGAAAAAGTATCAAAAAAATAAAAACTCCACAAAATTCAAACATGAAAACATGAAAGTTATTTTATCAATAATAGTATAAAAGACAATATTATAATTCACCATTTTCATTGTATACCCAACTGTACATAAAGAGAATATAACAAAAAATATGTTTTTAATCTTTTGTTGTCTTGTTCATCCTTTTTTACACCATGAGCAGCAACAGTAGTATTAAAAGATGATGAAGTACTATTATAAGACCGATTTAACAATTTCGGTGTTTCGAATCTTTTGATAACTGGTTTTATTCAACCTTAGGAAATACTGCAGATTATTTTCGTACGTTTGCACATATCTGAAGGTAGAGTGAATATCATAAACCCATTATGATTTCTGGTGGAGTTGGAATTATTCAACCAATCATGCATTTAAGAGAAAAATCACACCTGGAGCTCACCTATTCGTTTTTTAGATGGTGGTGTAAGTACTACCGATTTAGATTGGCATCCATACAACGTGATAATCCCGAAATGCAGTCAGCAAGTGATCGATGTTTGCATCGCTTTAGGGATGCCATTCAATCAGTTCATGATGTTGGCGCCAGTGGTTTATCAAATACGATAACGAAATTATTTTTAGGATGTGTTGTTAAATTACGAGGTATTCATAATGATGACTCAATGTGCCACCATTGGAAATTTGGTTCAATGAAGCACAGGAATGATATGTTGGCTGTTGACCAAAGACATCAAATTATTCGCCAAATTTTAATAATTCAAGATTGCCTATTGAATTCTACACCGATTAATTTGCCAATGGCTATTTTGTTCGGTAAGTCACCAATGATGTCCCGAAGAAAAAAGGCAAGAAAGATGGCGTGTATTCCTTTTAATACAAGTTTGAAAGTTATCTCTGTAATGTTCAAACAAATCTCAATACTTGGAGATGCTATATCTCGTCATTTTTGATATGTATGGATTGGTATCATGTAATAAAATGGTTGGACCATAGCAAATATAAGTCTCAAATGTTGCCTTCATATGATATGATGTTGGCCATGAAAGATTTCGCCAGCTACATCAGCACGCATGACTATTGCACTGATATGATAGCTGCGAATATTGAATCTATTTCTCATATCCGCCTTAGTGCTAATGAAAGCAACTTTTTTGGAATTTTTCTGCTTTAGGAACTAATATAAGGATTCGATGTCAATGAAGATAAAATTGCAAGAAGAAAATGATATTGCCAAGGCTCCCTTTAGCTTGATTGTTTCTGGATTTGCCCCTGTCGTAAATATTCATAAAACTATGACACTTCAACTGAGACCAAAGAATAGACTATTCTTTTTGAATTTATCAAATGGCAAACAGAAATTGGTGGATCAGCGACCACACAAGTATATCAACAGATTGGAGACAAAGTACCTGATATAGAAGATGCAAATATTATTAAAGCATTCTTTCAAGGAATCAAAATACTAATGAAATTATTCATATCATGATAGATCAGGTGGTGGTTTACTTACTACTATTGCAGAAACGTCATTTGCAGGTCATGTTGGAATGAACATAAATCTTGAAAATATCTTACAAGAAAATGATATTATTAGAGAACTTTTTAATGAAGAGCTTGGTGCTGTTATACAAATCAGTCAACAGAATCTTGAAAAGGTAAAATAAATATTGGATTTCCTCTAAACCATTTACATTATATCGGTGAGCATCAACCTTGGGATATTATATGATTGACACAATTATTTAACAATTATTTTAGTAATCTTTATTGTTTATTATTATTATTATTTACATCATTTATACTTTATATTGTCGCGGTCTGCGCAGAACAAGTGGAAAGTTAAGCCAATCAGTCTCGATAAATTTAGGTCAATCACATGATAATTCAATGTATTACTAACACACTATCTCTTCTACCCAATATCACAACAAGACAGAACAAGACAGGCAATCAGTCGATCTAAACCTGCTTACTTACACTCAAACAATGCAATTACGTGTAATATCTGAAGGTACGATGAGCAAGTGGAGTAAAAGTATCTTTACTATATGCTTCGTACACTGTCAAAATTTAACAGACTTTTGGAGCAACTTGCCGAGAAATATAGAAAAGTTTATTAAAATATTTATTAAAAATTTATTAAAAGAATAGGTCAATAGAGATATATTACTGCGTTAGCGTATCTTATCCCTATTGATATTCCGATACACGAAATTATTATTAAAATTAAAAACTATTACAAAAATTATTTATTATTTTTAAGATTATTTCGAAACTATTTATATTTGTTATTACTAAAATTATTGGAAAATTATTTAATAAAAAAAAATATAATTATGAAATATTCAGATTGTTACGAAATTATTTGTTATGATAAAATTATTAAGAAATTCGTTATTAAGGTAAGAAAGTTATATGATTTAAAAGTTTTCGCGAGAAGAGGGATCTCTTTTCTTTTTTCTTTCTTCCCTACCGCAGCTATTTTATAATTTTTCTCCTTGTTTACCTTCATCCTCTGTCATCTATAAAAACGTTTTTGTGCCAGGATGAATAAACAGTTATCGTGGATGATGGATGATAATTCATCCAAATAGTGACACTCTATCATCCCCCGTGACTCCGGCTATTTTCGTGCCGCCTCAATATTCTTTATAGACATGTTTATGTTACGCGATTTTTTATATGGAAAATTTAAAAAATTATATGTCATGGGACATTTAATTTTTCATTGTGTGACAACGATCTGATCGGACAAACTTTTGTGTCCAAAAAAAATCTCGACCAATGACAAAATTTTTCGGGTTGAATTACAGAGATTTCTTTTCTTTTCGTGACAATAATATGTGTGCTCAAGAAGAATTTGATAACATATTAGATATAAATAATCCTCGTTTGCAATATAAATTAACTTTTGATACTTCCAAGGATATCACTTTAAAATTTATAAAATCACCAGAAATACCTAGATCGAAAGTAGCAATACTTAGGGAAAAAGCAATCAATGGTCAAGCTGGAGTGGCCTTTGCATTTCATCTTTGCTGGCTTTTCATCATTATTAACAAAACGAGTTTGAAGATGTTCAATTCATCAAGATTAAGTTCATTGGAAGTAATTAACAGATCAAAATGACTTAATTTTCTAATAAAATTATTCTATCACCTATATTATATTTTGTTAAACTTCAAAAAAAAAAATAGAAAATATCAGACATCTTTAATAATTCTATCATCGAAAGAAATTTCGATTAATTTTTTTTTTGGAAATAGAATTATGGGATAATAGGATATAAAAATGAGTTCTATAAACTTGTCTTTGCAAACTTCAATTATGATTTATAATTATAAATTGGCGGTCATTTTTCGTAATTAATCGAATACATATTAAATGTCACTTTGGATAACTGAACTCATACAACTAACAACATTAAAGATTATTAATTGAAGTTGTTTATCATAAGAATACATATTTTGCAAGCAACAAGATTTTTTATCAGTTTTCAAATTGCCTACTAAACATAAAGTATTACCAAAAAATATTTTTGAGTCGTGTGATTAACTAATAATAGCATTATCAAGGTTTGCAACCCTACTTAGAATAAAGTTTTTTAGATTTGTAGTTTTTAATGAAAATGCAAAATTATCTTTACTATAAAGAATGACATTTTTATTTTTATCTAATTCACAAGGATTATATCCTCCTAGAATTTCTCCAGTATCTTTTGCCTTTAAAACAATAATGGTATTGGAAACTTAATCACTAATTTCATTAATGATTTTGACATCAAACCCATCTCTGCTTCCTCTAACAAGTAATTTAAATTCGTGAGGATTGTTTTCAGTATAATTTGATTCTCGCCTACCAATCCACGATGAAATTTCTAAGGTATGCTCATCAGTGATGATATTTGAAGATAAAGTAGTTCTGGTTGGAAGTGTTACATTTAAGATTATTCGAGGTGATAGCACTGCTGAAGAGATTGAATTGTCTGGTGCCAGTAATTTACTATTGATATCTAACCATAATTTAGGTTCAAGAATTTGTTGATATGGGAAAATCATTTTAAATACATCTTTAATGGAAAGACTAAAGTATCTAATATGTGAAAGACATTGTTTCAATGTTATTTTTAAGGTTAGGAAATTATCACTAGTTCATTCATCGACATTGGAAGGTAAAGTTGGATTTTGGGCTTTCCCCCATTGAATTATATATTGCCAAATTTTAATTTCCTCCAATTGTAAGTCATCTTTTTCAATAATAGAGATTAAAGTATCTTTTGGAAGGGTTTTAAAATTTTCTGACTCAAAAATCGTATTGGGATGTTTGGAAATTATGTTATTACAAAATTCTTGGATAATGTTAAAGTTTTTCACTTGACAACTTATCTGGTAAACCCGAGAAAAGTTTAGTCTTAGCCAGGAAGCATTATTATTGACAAAGTGAGTTTGAAGATGTTCGGCTAATTCTTTGAGGTTAAGTTCATTAGAAGTAATCAAGAGGTCAAAAATAATCGAATTTTCCAATTTTCCTAATGAAATTATTCCACCATAAATATACCTATTTTATATTAAAAATTTATTATTATTATTGTGAATTTTATTAAAAAAAATGGTCATAAATATTGCTTACTTGATAATGATATTGAATATTTTAATGGAAATATTAGACATTTTTAATACTTTAATATGTTTTTCATTAAAAGAAATTTCGTTTATTTTTTTTTTGAAAATAATGATTACGAGATTGCAAGATATAAGAATGAACTTTATAAATTTTTTTATCGGGTTCTTCGCCAACTTCAATTGTGACATTATAATCAATAGGATTTTCAAGAAGCTGGGTAGGGTCGCTTGATAGACGTTGTTACTATATTTTTTTTATCTTCTTCGTTGTCGTCGCATTTTCGCTCTCGTTCCGTCCATCACACCCCGTTCGTCTATATAATTTCCCTTTTAATTCTCCCCCCCCCCCCTTCTACTCCTTTTTCTCTTTTCCTAAGATTACTTATCAATACTTATTACCACTTACCTTTGCTTATCCACTTACCTTGTACTACCCACTTCATTTTCTAGCTTTAATTTTTCTTCCTCATGTATAATCAGTTAATCAGAAAATCAATGAAATAGAATTAATTAAACATTCAATAATCAATATAGAACAAATAGTCAATCAGTGATTACTGAATTTTGATTAATCCTTTAGATAGTTTTTGAGCGAACCTAGGATAGATTTCTTCACTTTCTTTATTTCTTTTTGTATTTTCTCTATTTTCTTAATAAAATCTTTATTTTGTCTATAAATAAGTTATACACATGTTTATTTCTTTCCTTGCATTTGTTTATAAATTATAAATAAAGTCTACATTGTATAATCCAGAGTCTTAAAATAAACCATTGATCTTTAATTCTTCGCTCAAATTGTCACGTGACTTAGCTGGAACTCACTTTCTTCATTCTTTGAACCCATCCATCCTTTAAATCCTTACAAAGTCCTAGCGAAACTATTTCATTTTGTCTCTTATTGTCTTTAGATTAGAATTTGCCATATTCTCTCTTCTCTATATTCACTATCCCTCCTTTAATTGTCCCTTCTTTGTTTTATCTAGTTTCTTTGCCTTTATTGCCCTATAGTATAGAAAATTAGTTACTTTATTATTATTTGTCTTTCCATACTCCCAAAACTCACTGATAACTACCGGGCTAAACCCAAGCACTTGTGTACTTGCCCCCTCGCTCTCCCAACAGGTAGTATCAACGTTCAAAAAATTTGGTTGTCATTTTTTCGTATAATATGAAAAATATGCGTTTAGGATAATTGGAATAAAAAGAATAATAAAACGTTTAGAATATTCGAATGTTAATAATAAAACGTTAGAATATTCGAATGTTTTGAACTTAAAAATAATCGTTTATAATGTAAATGGGTTCATCTATTTATTTATTGTATATAAATTTTTTGGGGCTGAGATGGTAAATCCGCTGATTCCTAAATCTCATCAGGTGATTTTCTTTCAGCCAATTATGTTCTGACCTCTATTTATTGAACTAGACTACCAATCTGACCTACCAACCCACTCCCTACCCTGCGAAAACTCATTTTATTTCTTGCTTCTAACGTTTAATAATGTTATTTTATTTGTTTTTCTTGCTATTTGCTTATTTTACTAATAAAAAAACAACTTTAACTAGTAATTAAAAGTTTGTTATCTATGTATTTTATTAACTTCAATCAATTTCCGCAATCAGTGTATATGCTGTTGCTGTGATTAATTATTTTATATTATTTCTTTGATAGATGTTAAGGATATGATTTAGATATTTCAGTTTGTATTTGGTTTCGGGTAAATTGCTTCGTTGATTTTTACCCTCAATTTTCATCCTTGCTTTAATTTTAAGAAATAATCTTAATTTGAATAAAAATTAAAATTTCATAACTAAATGAATAAAATGACTTTTTTTTGAATTTTTTTACTATTTAAGTTTTTGTGATGGTAATTTCTTTTTTTTTTGTTTTTGACCAGCTCGATAATATAATTTTATTAAAACTGTTGAATCATGCCTTCAAGAAGTTGTGTTAATTGAAAAGGAAGTGATTTATAATATTCTAGTAAAGACTCTGGTTCTTCGAGTTTTAATTTTTGATTTAATTTGTTTCCTTTCTCTTAATAAAATATTTATCAATATTATAACATTACTTGTTCTATTGTATTAGTATCAACTACATTTTTTAATTTCACCATTAATAAAATCTGGAATTGCACAACATGTTAGATTTAGATTATTTTTTATTTCTATTTTGCTTTCATGTTCCATACAATCACTAAATAATGATACTGTAGAAGCTGTTTCCTATTCACTTGAATTACCTTCATTCCTTGTGTTATTGTCGCCAGATTTTAATTATTTTACTAATTTATGGCAGTTATGCAAGTGAAACTTTCATTTAGCTCTAAAATTTTATTAAAAAATTATTAATTGTAGACCGTTAAAAAAAAAAAATTTATACTCGCTTCGTTGCAATACTTGATACTTTAACATAAATAACATACTTTGATGATAGTTTTTTAACAGGTTAAATATAGCTTTCTTGTAACTAATAAATATAATCTAATTAATATATAAAATGGACAACTTGTAAGATCCTTATTTATAATCATTTTATTAAACTGTTCACTTAGTGACAAAGCCTAAAAAAAGTAATAAATTTTGAGCATTTCACCTGACTGATATATTTCGATAAACAGTGTAAGTGTGGCATTTACCTTTATTAAAGTCAACAATTAACAATATATAATAAATAAATATAGAGAATATTGTTTGACTAATAAACATATATCAAGAAATAAAAAATTTCTACTTCATTATTTTTATAACTTTTTATAAACTTCATTACGAATGATTATTTGCAATTTTAATTAATAGTGATGATCTTCTCCGAAGGTCACAATTTAGCCCAAATGACTTAGATTAATGATCTTATTCTTTAAATGTTTATTCGGTGGTAATCTGCAAGATATATTATGCTTAGAAAAACTTAAACCTTTCCTTTAACGTTCGAAGTCATGTTTTCTTAGCACTTTTTCCACATAAAATGACTTGAAAATTCAATAGTGGTTTTAAATAAATGTACCCAAAATTTAAACGTCAGATATTTAGAAAAATCATTTTTAATAAAATTTTCATCAATTTTACTATCCTTTTACTTTAAATTATATTATACTATACATAGTACTTAAGTTTTATTAAAATAAATATATCTAATAAAGATCATTCATTTTGTTTAAAAAATCTTAAGAACAATACATCGATATAATTTATCATAAATTTTATTAGTTATAAATTTCTTATTTTGAACTTCAAAACCTCCTACTCTTTTACATAATCAAAATATTTATTACCAATGAGTTCTTCAGAACAAATTTGTTTACCATGAGAATACTTATTTAGCAAGTAACAACATTTTTATGAGTTTTTGTAAACATAAAGAAATATCAAAAAAATAATTTTGATTGTTGTGGGTAATCAACAATAGCACTTTCAAAGCAGTTTGCCCTACTTAGAATTTTAAGATTTTGCAGTGAAAATATAAACCTATCTTGATTATAAATACTTTATTCAACTCACAAAAAGTATATCCTCCTAGAATTTCTCCAGTATCTTTTAGATACTTTTTCACAAATTCCATAAATTTCATAAATGGTTCTAACATCTGCTTCCTCTAATAAGTAAATATAAGGATTGTTTTCAGTATATCTTGATCTTCGCTATCAATCCATCTGTTGTTGATATTGAATTAACTTCTGTCATGGTCGTTGTCGTTGTCATTTCTTCGTCGTTGTTGTCGTTGTTGCAGTCACAGAAATTACTGTCGGATTAATATCTGGTAGTGAACCAAACTTTCACTAATAGCGCTTTTCTCGATCCATAATAATACTTACAAAATTCTTTTTCTTTCCAATCTGACTAATAATTGCAAAAAAAAATTTCGACAAGCGCTGATATCATGTTGACTAAGATGCAACAAGTTGTGGGCCAACAGTTGTAGTAATTCTGAAAGTAATTTCTTCTCACTTCGTATTCTGGAGTATTATGAAATATTACTAAAACCTTTTCTGCTTCTTGTAATCTAATGGCCGCTTTTTGATAATCCTGTCATACAAATATTATACTTTCTTCAGCTTCTAATTCTCTCAATACACCTCTGATAATTCCATAGAATCAATAATTTTTGTTCATTAAATTTGAATTTTTTAGTTTCATCTGGTTCAATTGTATTATTATCTTTTTGACCTGAAGAGAGAAGAGTATTAGAATTCAAATCGATACTTGATTACACTCCCTTTTACATTGAAATCTTTGGCCAAAATGCCGAAAATAATGTAATAATGTACAACCGAATTTATTTTATTTCGATATGGTTAGCACATTTTTTTTAATGAATTTGATGATCAAAATAAAGTAAGGGAAGTATAGTAGTGTTCGAATATACTGAACTAAATGTATATTTAGAAATACATCATCTAACGCTACTGTAACTTCGCTTTGTAGAGAGAAGTCATAATCACATGGACTAAGTTGCGAAATTTTGACAAGTGATTTTCTTAGCGAGAATGGAGAAATTAAATGTAATAAATTTTACTGATTGCCATGTTTTTCATGAAATATTGTGAAAAAAATGTACAGAAAGCAACGTCATAAAGATTAGAAAAATATTATGAATGATTGTAGGTATAATGGAAAAGGTGTTGAATGCAGATTGCGTCACTGTAAATATGATTGAAAAGAACATTATATATGTATTATCCCAAAAAAAGAAGTCATTATATTAATTCTTTAGATAAATTTAATTATAAAGATAAAAGTTCACAAATAGAATCATTAAACAACTATTGGTATAGATGTTCAACTGTTGGAAATGGATACTTATAAAAAAATTCATTAAATACATTTGTAACTGACCATTCTAAACAATAAACTATCAAAACTTATAACAATTGAATTATTGAACATGCATGAAAATTCTTTAAAGCACAAATTAATGAATTATATCGTATGAGTTTGTCTTTAAATCAAGTTGATTTGAAAAAACAATAATGAAGAAATGGGAAATATGATATGATAATCCAGAAAACCGAATAATGAAAATTGTTGAAATTACTTTAATGGAACGAAAACTGCCATTCAATGATATTATACATTTAATTACCGATTACGATATTCAAGTTAAAATTAGTCAAGTTCATTTTAAAGGACATTAATAGACGAAGACATCCTTTGCTAGGAATATTATTTCTTAAATGATCTCTATACATGTCTCTAGCCATTTTTATAATATTATTATTCTGTTAAATCTTTATTTTTTAAGGATTCAGTTATAATTATCAGTTCCATTATGATTTCCTTTAGTACCACTAACAGACGCTTGAATAATTGTACTGGTCTTGGGTTATTATTGTTGGAAGTTGTAGAAATATCTAAGTCAAACATGTAGGATTGTTATAAATTTCTTCCTTTCATTGTTTTGCAATTTAAAAATTTTTATGTTGTCCTAAGCTGCTTGAGAGTTTAAATCCCATACAAGTTTCAAAGTTTTTTACGTTTTTTTTTATTGAAATATGTTAAAGGTGTTTCATGATGTAAAAAAAAATTTTTATGATCGGTTACGTGTAGAATTTTATTATTGATTGGACCTGTCATGTGTGAATAATTGATAACCGTAGTTAATATATAAGAAGAATTACATTATATCTTTTTATTATTTCGATATGTCTATACACTTCAGCAAATAATAATTTATACAAATTCTTTCTGGTTATAAGATTAAAGAAGCCTATTATTCTAAATTTAAATTATACAAGTTTATTAATGCAACGACGCATTCAATAAATAATATAATTAACATTTTCTATATTTGCTGAATTACAGTAAATGTGAAGAATGATTCTAATATATTATAAATTATAAATCATTGAGAAAACAAAAGGACTATAGACCATGCATTACCGATTATTGAATATACAAAAATCGATGACGCTTTTATAATAAAAAATTGCAACTTAAGCAATATAAGTGAAAATAATTATTCGTGATATTTTCACCCCACCTGTACCCTTTTTATTTAAAATGCACTAAAGCATTTAAAGTATAATCAGAAAATTAAAATCCTTCTCCATCGAGACCAACAAATCCCTATGTACAATGGATTTAAATAATTTAACATTTTTTTTTAAAAAAAAAGTAAAAGAAAACGATAATGAGCAATAATAAGTCTTTACATACTGTCAATAAAAACACGGGAAAATATCCTTTCTTTTCTATCTGCGAGTACCAATTCCAGGCACTTGTTAATCGTCCATCGATATGACTTCCAGCATCGTCTGCACCACTGCCATCAAAAGCAAAACGGAAAAAATCAGCACAAATACCTTTTTTGAGTTCTTCGACACTTCCGAAAGTATCTTCTATGTAGCGACGAATTCCAGTATTGTAATTTGTTAAGGGTTGAATACCCTCAAGACATATCAGCATTGGGTTCAGTATTCGCGATACTTGATTGTACTATATTAAGGAGTAGTGAAAATTTCAAAAAGAATTATTATCAAACGTTGCATGAATGAGCCACCTTAATAAATAATTTAAGAATACCTTATCAATGAACATCAACGCATTAGGAATATTCTTGTCCCCTAAATGAATGACGGAACTTCCAATCCAATATCCCGCTGATTTCTGAGCACGGTGTAGAATAGAATGCATGACGTGCGAAACTGAAGGACAACGTTGCATTCTGTTCAAACCTTGACCAATATTCTTTAGTCGGTATGAATTATTTTCTGATAATAAGTCTTGATCTGCCAAAAACCAAAGTTTAAACATTTCATTCTGAATTTCACGCCAAAGTGACATGTTTCATTTCTAGGATTTCAAAGTATGTTAAATTAACGTAGGAAAACTTTTCATTACAAAAATATAAAGAAGTGTGGACTTCAAAAAAACTTACGCATAGAAAAATTGCGTCTCATGATCATGTGAGAGACGTGCGCCGCCTTTTCCAGAACGAATGGCCAAAGAATAACCAGATTCAATCTTTGAGGGGTTAAAATAGGTTGTTAAATTTTTAAGCATTTTAATACAACAATCACTAAAATAATAAACTCTGGTTAATATAATTATTTTTCTGCTTATATACATATATATTTCCATATTTACCGATTTGACCTCAAATATGCATGATTATCACCAATACTATACAAGCACTGTTTGATTTCTTCCGAACTTATAATACGATTACTAAAATGATTACTAATTAATTCAATTGCTCTTTCTTTTTTTCGAATTTCTTGATCAATTTGTGGTCGATTTTTTCCATTCGGAATAATTTCTTGCACAGCATCGGGAATTAATTGATGATGAAGAATTTTGAGAGCATCACGTTTTTCTAGGAAACTGTAGACAGTTTTAATGGGTATAACCAAATTTAACTGTAACAAATCTTTGACATCTGGAATAATGGAGTCCTAAATTTTTTTAAGATTTCGTTAGTTATAATAATAATTCGTAAAAACAACTTTGACCAGATTTCTTACCATAAGCAGGTACACTAACTTGCCATATGCATCTCTCATTTTTTCAGGGTTCATAATTTTATGCCGTCTTCCTATTTCAAATATTGTTTGATAAAATTCTTCGTTGTCTTCAAACGATTTATTTTTGAGTAGTTCTTGGCCTTTATTGTAATCACTAAATGATGTAACGTTCATCTCGTATTAAATACATATACAGGACAAATTTAATCACCAAAAGTTATAAAAAAAAGATCTTTGTTACTTTGCTAACTAAAAAAAGGGGGAAGGAATAGAACATTTTAAAGTATATATATTAATTTCATGTTTATATTAAAATAATAACAATTCAATACTTACGAAAAGGCCGGACAAAATGTTACATAAATTCTTAATTTGATAAACAATTCGATTTGTTTTAGAACTGTATGATATAATATCAATTTTGTCCGTGTATTCTATTAAAAAAAGGTTTGTCAATATTTATTTGATCTGCAATAAATTTGTCAAGAAAAGTTACCTGATACATTTAACGCCGCTTCTAATCTGTGTTAACCAAGAGAAATCTTATTAGTAAAAGGATTATGATAAATAAAAAATTCGGATATTTACAATCCTAAACGTTTCTTTTCATCCGTGTTCAGACGTAGAGGTATGTATTTAGCGCGCTCTTCAATCCAATCGCCATAAGATGAATTAATAGTCGGTGAGAGTTCTGGTCCGGTACCAAATTCATTTGATTCCTGTTTATATAAATCTTATTAAAAAAATTTGATTGAAATTATTTACTAATATAGATTAATTGAAATCATATCTACTTGTTCAGTAGTTCTGGTTGGAAGTGTTACATTTAAGACTTTTCGAGGTGGCAACACAGTTGAAGAAATTGGTTTGTTTGGTGCCAGGAATTTACTATTGATATCTAACCATAATTCAGGTTCAAGAATTTGTTGAAACGGGTACGGGAAAATCATTTCAAATACATCTTCGCTGGAAATACTAAAATATCTAATGTATGGAAGGCATTGTTTCAATGTTGTTTTTAAGGTTAGGAAATTATCACTAGTCCATTCTTTGAGGTTGACTGGTAAAGTTGGATTTTGAGCCTTCCCCATTGAATTATATATTGCCAAATTTTACTTTCCTCCAGTTGTAAATCATCTTGTTTAATAATAGAGATTAATGCATCTTCTGGAAGAGTTAAAAAATTGTCTGATCCAAAAATAATATTGGGATATTTGACAATTATGTTATTACAAAATTCTTGGATAATATACTTACTATCATGTCGTGAATATTTTTGGCTTGAATAAGATACTGGTTTTTCGTTGTGATTAATTATTTTTATATTATTTCTTTGGTATATGTTGAGGATACTGATTTAGATATTTAAGTTTGAATTTAATTTCGGGTAAATTGCTTCGTTGATTTTTACTCTCAATTTTCGTTCTTTATTTTTAATTTATCTATTACGTATATTTATTCCATAAGTGTTGATTTTAAGGCATGGTTATAATAAAATAACTTTTTTTTTGAATTTTTTCATTATTTAAATTTTGGGTGGTCATTTTCTTTTTATTTTTAATTTGCTTGATGATATTTAATGAAATTTGACTTTTTTTGATCAAATATAAATGATTATACCAAGTTTTCCTTCGGCTTGCTTTACTGTATCATGAACATTTTTTAATTTCACCATTAATAAAATCTATAATTGAATAACATGTTAGATTTAAATTATTTTTTATTTGTATTATTTTTATTTTGCTTTCATGTTCTATACTAATGATACTGCAGAAGCTATTATCTTCATTACTAATGTTACTGTCGACGGATTTTAATTGTTTTACTCATTTTATAGTTTCGAGAATTTTTTTAATAAATTCTTGAGGATGTGCAATTTGTCCAGGTACTGATATACAACAATATATAATAGCCCTTATAAATTTTTTAAAATATTTTAATCTTTCGATATATTACATCTCTCCCATAATTTTATTATGAAATATAATAAATAATATATTAATGTTAATAAAAACTATTGTGATGTTATTTAGAATTATCAGTAAAGGAGAATGAGTTAATGTATTCATCTGTTCTCTTCAATGCATCAACTCTCAAATTGACCATCAAATCTTATAGATTGATAAAATTATCTAATTTTAATTTATAAAAAGAAGAAATGCTCTTTTAGAGAATTGTTGAACAATATTTAATAAATATAGGAAATATTTTTATACTAACAAATATACATTAAGAAATAAAAATCCATAATTATATCTCTCGTCGGTAGTTTATTTGTCATATTAGATTGCAATGCTGAAAGAAACCTTCACGAGCCAGAACTGTTCTTGTGGCGTAGAAGTGTGATATGTTTTCCATTATGGAGAACACAGATATTGTATCATTGTTTTGTTTTTAATTGACATTTATTGAAACATTATTATTAGTTGTCGCATCTAACGAAGTTCTGTCTGAAACATAAGCGAATCCCTAAATGGTTACGGACACATTTAATCATCAAATATATCTTTAAGATATCATACTCCTTAAAAATGTCCTGAAGAGGTGTCGTTTTTGGAAGAGACTAAATTGTTGCATCATTAATTATTGTTTACTTTGTTAGATTTAAACAGTCAAAAACATCCTTATCACATGGTAATAAAGGTTTATGGATCTCCTTAATTATTAATTTATTTTGTTATAGCACGGTCATAAATTTTGGGTATTAGGTTCTTTCGATTATAATTTTACCGGCGTAATGCCTCCTCCAGAAACGCTCTCCATTGCTTTATTATGCTTTACGTTTTACCATATTTTAATCGATTACATATATACATATATTTTTGGTGGAGTTTGGGGAGGTTTCATTGCCACATTGAGGTAAAAAAAAAATTCTCAAAAAGGTTTGTTTCCATTCAGCATAATGGCGACATTATTTTCCTAACATTCGAAATATTCGGTAAAAAAAATTTAGTGGCACACAATATCAGGAATGCTTATTCAAATTGTAGAATTACCTGACCCCATTAAAAAATTGGATCCTCAGGATTGGATAAACTTATGTAATAATCGATGAATTAAATATAAAACAAATAATTTGTTTTTACATGCTATATAAACAATAATTAAAAAATATAATTTAAAAAAATTGTATTGTATTAAGGTTATTGTTAATTAATATTATTAATAAATTTTTCGAAGAAAGGAAATGATTTTGATGATTTTTCGTTTTTTTTTCAAGTTTTTTTCGGGCTTATTCAGGTGAAAGGTCTTTGAATCTTTTTTTTTTGATATGAGCCAGAATTTTTCTTAATAAGATACGTGGCTCAGGCACTTTTATTATCTGCCATACAGACATTAAATTATTTGGTGATGTCTTTCGGGATTACCATATTTAATTTCTTCAAAGTTTGGCATTTCTTCTACATATATTGGAAAAATATTATATGGTTCCTTAAATATTGATTTAAATTCTTTGTATGCGTCCTGAAGGATGCAATACTCATTAAAAATCTAAAAATCGGTTACCTTGTACTGATTGTGATAAGCCTATTCAATCTATAAGTGGACGTTGCTCTAATCATATTCGTGAGTTTTATTCTTCGAGATATTTTCAAAAACACCTTAAGAAAAAAATATCGTGAATATATGAATAATTTGAAAAAAAAAAATAATTAATTATTGAACACCTAAAATTTTTTTATATCGTAGAAAATGTTAAAAAATAATTTAATCACTATTTTGATAACAAAGTAGAAAAAAATTTATTATTTAAGATTTAGTTAAAATTAAAATAACAAATTCTAAAATATATTATGGAAGAATTATATTTTTGAACACCCTTTTGCCTAACTTTATTTTTGATTTGGATTAAATATTAAGTATTTTATACAAGAAATAATTTAAAAAAAATTTTACAGATCAAGAAGAATGATATTAATCTTTATTAAATTACAAGAAAAAAAAATACTTTGAATAATAAAAAATGACTAAATTTTTATATTGATTATTGTTATTTAATTTAATTTTAATTTTGAGAGAAATACAAAAATAAAAATATTATCTCATACACAAGAATTCGTTTTAACTTTAATGACAAATCATTATTTGGGTCTGTAAAGATCATATTAAATTTGATATTCAAATCACTTTTGCAAAGTGTATCAAGATAAATAAAGTTTTATAAAAAATCGCTATAAATGAAGGAGAATTGATTGAAATGAAGATTGGAGATCAAGTAGAGTAAAGGTGTTTGAAAACTGTCTTAGGACTAGTTTTTTTCCCTACTGTTATTGTGCTTTAGTAAAGGTGAATCACGGTCAACAATGTATTCTTAGAAACATATCCATTTAATTTAGCTGCATGGAAATCAATTTAATGGAGATATTTATAGATATTGGAGTTTTTGCCTGTGCTTCTACTAATGAGCTTGGATTTGTAGCTTGTAGGATTTTTAGAATCTGTGTCAATGCCGCTTCTGTAGAATAATTTACAATCAAATAAACATAATAGATTATTTAGTATTACAGTGAGTGAGTCATAATTATTGAAATCAATGTCTCAATTTAATTCAATACCATATGACAATTCCATAATTTTGAAATCAATATTTCAATTAATTCAATATCATATAACAATTCTCTTATCAATTATAAATTACAATGGGTAAGTATTTATATTTATAATCATTCATATAACAATTCTTTAATTAATTATTAATAATATTTTTTAGAAAGTGTCACGAATGTCATCGAAATTATACTGGTGCCATCCATGTAATGTCAAAAAATTTCAAAATGAATTTGATAAATGGACAAGTGAAGATAGAAAAATTGATGAATTTATTCAACAAATACAACTAAATGCAAATACATATCAAGAAATTAAAGACTTATGAATGTCACATTCCTTGCTAAAAGGGGTTTTTGGCACAGTATACAAAGCAATGGCTTGATGGATTTATTATTCCCAGTCAAAAAGGCAGGTATAAGTCTTGACAATTCCTCAAATAAAATTGAATTTATACAAGAGGTAAAATCTTTTATGTGATTTACATTATTTTAAATATATAATAATTTTATTTATTTATGCTAATAAATATTTTAAATTAAAAGTCAACTTAAATTTCGAGGTAAAAGGGTAATTGCAATATATGGCATCACCAAAAATCTAGCAAGAAATGAATATATGATGGTTATGGATTATGCAAAAAAATGGCAGTCTTCGAAAACTGTTGAATAACAAGTTCGAAGAACATTTTTTAAATGACCTTCCAAACGTAAGGAATTACCAAAAAATAATTTTGATTACTTTGGGTAATTAACAATAGCATTTTCAAAGTAGTTTGCCCTACTTAGAATTTTAAGATTTTGCAGTGAAAATATAAAACTATCTTGATTATAAATAAATACTGATTTACTTTTATCCGACTCTCCTAGAATTTCTCCAATAACTTTCCCTTTAAAACAATAACTATATTGGATACTTTATCACAAATAGATAAAAATGATTTTAACATCAAACCATCTCTGCTTCCTCTAACGAGTAATTTAAATTCACAAGGATCTTGATTCTCGCCTATCAATCTATTATGAAATTTCTAAGGTATCAGTGATAATATTTGAAGATAAAGTAGTTCAGTTTAAAAGTGGTACATTCAAGATTTTTCGAGGTGATAACACTGCTAAAGAGATTGATTTGCTTGGTGCCATGATTTTACTATTGATATCTAACCATAATTTAGCTTCAAGAATTTGGTGATACGGAAAAACCATTTAAATGACATCATTACTGGAAATATTAAAGTATCTAATGTGTGAAAGACATTGTTTTAAGATAATTTTTAAGGTTAGGAAAATTATCACTAGTTCATTCATCGACATTGGAAGGTAAAGTTGAACTTTGGGCTTTCCCATTGAATTAAATATTGCCCAATTTTACTTTCCTCCAATTGTAAGTCATCTTTTTCAATAATAGAGATTAAAATATCTTTTGGAAGGGTTTTAAAATTTTCTGATTTAAAAATCGTATTACAAAAGTCTTGAATAATATTAAGGTTTTTCACTTGACAACTTTTCTGGTAAACCCGAGAAAAGTTTAGTATTAGCCAGGAAGCATTATTATTAACAAAGAGAGTTTGAAGATGTTCGTCATTGAAAGCAATCAAGAGGTCAAAAATAATCGAATTTTCCAATTTCTCTAATGAAATTATTCCACCTATTTTATATTAAAAAATTTATTATTATTATTATTATTATTATTATTATGTATTTATTAAATTTTATTAAAAAAAAATAGTCAATTTTATAAAAAAAAAATATTCATAAATTTTATGAAATGTTGCTTACTTGATAATGATATTAAATATTTTAATAGAAATATCAGACATTTTTAATACTTTAATATGATTTTCATTAAAAGAAATTTCGTTTAATTTTTTTTGAAAATAAGAATTACGGGATTGTAAAATATAAGAATGAGCTTTATAAATTTGTTTATTGGATCCTTCGCCAACTTCAATTGTGACATTATGATCAATAGAGTTTTCAAGAAGTTGGGTAAGGTCGTTTGATAAACGTTCATAAAATTGGGCTGTCATTTTTTTTGAAAATAAGAATAAAACTTTGATTGATTAATTATAATTGGTTAAAAATTTTCCATAAAATTCATATGAGGACACATGAAACAAACCTGACCTGTGAGCTGTTATTATTATTGTATCGCGGATGTTTTATATGATATGATATGATTTTATATATAAAATTTTTATAGACGCGTGTTTTTTGGCGACATTTAAATAACTTGATAAACTTGAAAATACTTTTTAGGTATTACGTGATAACGCAAATAACGTTAAGAAGTTATGGACGGTACTCATGGCATTTTGACGACACGTAATTTGGAACCACCAAGTATTATTAAATCGTATAGAAAACCAAACCAAGAATATAAAAGAAGAAAAATTCTTGGAGAGGTAAGTATCTTTCTATGTGTGCGATATTTGTGGATATTTGTGATAAATTTGTAATATTATTTAAAAAAAAAAAGAATTTTGAAATTTTGAAATCTTAATAATAATAATAATAATAATAATAATAAGGGAGGGTTTAGTAAATGTTATGAAGTTGAAAATAAGGAAGGAGAAATTCTTGCAATAAAGTCAATATCCAAATCCACTTTAAGAAAAAATCCTTTAAATAAAGAAAAAGTAAGAAATTAGATGAATCAAATATAGAGAAGAACCATTATTGTTGATTAATTATATATACATAAATATCTTTTTTGTTGTTTTTAATTTTTTAAAATTTTTTTTTTTAATAGATGTTTAGTGAAATTAAAATTCATAAACTTATGGACCACCCACATATAGTAAAGTTTTATGATTGTTTTGAAGACTTATCATTTGTATATCTAACTTTGGAACTTTGTGAAAACCAAGTAAAATATATATTTAATATTAAATTTTATAAATTTATCGATATATTCGAAAATGTATATTCATATATATTCAATAAATTCTATATATTTCTTCAAAATATTCTTTAATATAATACAGACATTGGCATACATGATTAAAAAACGACAAAGAATAACGGAAGCAGAAGTTAGATTCTTTATGCGACAATTATTAGACGCGTGCGATTATATGCACAAAATGTTTGTCATTCACCGAGACTTAAAACTTTCAAACTTATTTTTGACAAATGAAATGAAGGTCAAAATAGGAGATTTTGGACTAGCGGCTCAATTGGAACGAGTAGGTGAAAGGAAGAGGTAAATAAAATAAATAATATATTAATAAAAAAAATATATTAATAAAAAATAAATGAAAAAATATTAATAAATAAATAATTTTTTAATAATATATTAAATAATTTAGAACTATATGTGGAACACCCAATTATATTGCACCTGAAGTACTATTTGGGCATGATGGTCATAGTTTTGAAGCAGACTTATGGTCTTTGGGTGTGATAATGTAATTTATATTTATCAAATAATAATAATAATAATAATAATAATAATAACAATAATAATTAATAATAATTATAATAATAATAATAGGTATACTTTATTATATGGAAAGCCTCCATTTCAGAAAAATAGTGATTCTCATGAAATTTATCGGTAAGTAAATTTTATTAATAAAATTTATTTTATAATCCAAATGAGATATTAATTTGAGTAATTTTTAATTAATTCTATAGAAGAATAAAAGAAGGTGCTTATGAATTCCCAACTTATATTACAGATGTTTCAAAAGAAGCGAAAAGTTTAATTAGTCAATTACTTACATTGGATCCCGGTAATTAATTAATGTATTTATTGATTTATATTATTAACAATTCTCACTCACAAATCTCACTTCATAAATCTCACTCACTCATAATCATAATTCTTTATAATAATAATGAATCAAAAGGAAAACGTCCGTCAATACAACAAATCTTAGAACATGAATTTTTTAAAATAGGAATCACGCCACAAAAGATTCCATTATCAGCATTATTTATAACACCAACTTTTGATTATCATAATCAATCCGTCACCATCAAATCTCAGACATCTTATGCATCGCATATGAGTAGTAATAATAAGAATAATAATAATAATAATAATAATAATAGACGACCGATGACCGATATTCAGATTGACGTAAATCGACTTCCACCACTACCACCATCATTATTAAAACCAATAACTACAACTACTACTAAAAATTGTAAAACAATAACAACATCATCAACTACTGAAACTTTTGCCAAACAAATAAATTATAAGTCTGATGTAGCTAAACGTTCATTGTATTCAACGAATAATTATAATAATAATTATAATAATAATGATTATAATAATGATAGACTGTTGAATATTAATAATTATGAATTACAAAGTAAAAATTATATATATATATATTTATTATTATTATATTTATATATTTTATTAACTTATTAATCTTTAATAATAAATAGGAAAACCAGGTATTCCAATACTTGAAACTTGTTATACAACTTTGAAGTCGGAATTTAAAAATTCACAAGAAAAGAAAAAAAATATTAAAGATATTTTAGTTGGAAATGTTCGAAGTGTTAAAAGTGGTAAATTATTCTATATTTTCTATATTTTCTAGATTTTTTAGATTTCTATATTTATTCTATTTCTAAATGTGAAAGGGGGAAAGGGAAAATTATAATAATTTTTAATATTTAAAAATAGATTTATCGATTACTCCACGAGTGTTCATTAATAAATGGATGGATTACTCAAAGAAGTATGGATTTGGATATCAGTTAACAGATGGTTCAACCGGAATTTATTTTGATGACGATAATACAACTTTAATAATGTCTCCTGATGATATGTAATTATTTAATTCTATTTATTTATTTATTTATTATTATTTATTGAATTGTTATTTATTTATTTATAAATTATTATTTATATTAATCATTATTATTTATTATTATTATTATTTATTTATTATTAAGTCATTTGGAATTCATTTATTATCCTTCAAATTCCACTTGGCCAAGACGTACTCTTTACACCGTAAAGGAATATCCAAAATTTTTAACAAAGAAATTTTTTACATTACAAAAGTTTGAAAAATACATGAAAGAAACTCTTGTAAAAGAAAATACTTACACCTATGTTGATCGTGATAGAACGCGTAATATGGTATTCATGAAGAAATTTAAACGTTCTCGACACGCAATGTTATTTTGTTTGAGTAATTATTTAGTACAGGTAAGATTTAATTTATTTATGTTTATTTTTTATCTTTATTGTTTTTTCAAAATATTTCAATATTTTTATTTACTTTTTTTATTAATTTTTTTCAATATTATATTTATTATATTAATTAATATTTTATAGATAGTTTTCTTTAATCACGAAAGGATTATTTTAACAGAAGAAGGACGTGTCGTAACTCATATTAATGAAAAGGACGTAACCAATACATATACTTTATTAGATATTTTAGAGGGAAATGATCAAACTCTTATAAATAGATTGGAATATGTTCGAGATTTCCTAAAGAATATTATTGAAGGAAATACGGATAATAATAATAATAATAATGAGAAAGATAATAATAATAATAAGAAGAAAGATAATAATAACAATAACAATGAGAAGGGTAATAATAATGGGAAAGATAATAATAATAATAATAAGAAAGATAATAATAACAATAACAATGAGCAAGATAATATTATTAATAATAGCAACAATGAGAAGGATATTAATAATATCAAAAATTGGAAGGGTATTAATATTAATATTAATAATAATCGGAAGGGTAATAATAAAAATCAGAAGGATAATAATGGGAAGGAAGATGTCGAACAACAGAGAAGAAGTAAAAGATCAAAGATTAATTAAGAAGGTAAATACTTTGTACAATCTAAATTATATATTTATTATATTTATTATGATTTATATATTCGGCAAAAGAAAGTTTGTGAAAAAATAGTGGAAATAAATTAAATGCATAGAAATGACAATGGATTGAGAGAGTTAATTTTTTGTTAATTAAATATTACCCAAAAAATTCATGCATTACTGCGCCATGTAACCAAAACGTCGGGTTAAACGTGACCCGAAGACTGAAAATATGATCGTAGTTGCTGCGCCAATCGATAATTTCATTCGATTTACCAAAATTCATTTTACAATACTGCATATAAAAAAAAGTGCCATCGCGACGCGCATCACGAAATCAGAATATCATGTTTAGAATTCCAGTTTCACTGGACCAATTTATCGTCAGTTGGTAACGAATTTTGCATGCTATTATATAGAAAAAATCAATTTCGGATTGAACGTTTTTTTATTTTTTTTTATAAAAGTTGATTTTTTATATAACATAATAATTATGTTCCATTTCATTTACAGGTTCTTTTTGATTATTTTTCTTCTGCGGTGTTTTTAGTTTATTTAGTTTTGTAGATTTTGAAGCAAACTCTTCAGGAGATTTAAATTTAAATACCTTGGCTTTTCTGATTAAAATATTTGTTATCTTCCCAACCCAATTCACAAAGCCTATTGAATGAAAAATAAAACAATTATAATGAATTAATAATGCTTAATTTAAGACAACAAAAACATACACTATGAAGTAAAAATGCTTTGTGTAGTAAAACCACTTCTCCAATATCCTTATCATTTGTTGGTAAAAATTTGGAAGTCCAATTCACTTATTTAGAAAAAGAGGTAAAATCTAATTCTCATTCCAATTACCATATATTGCGGTCCATAATATCCCGGTATATTAAAATTTTTCAAGTTTTTAGCAAGATAGAGGGGAAGTACTGTGAATGGGAGGGATATAAGATTTGTAAAATAAACCCCTATATTATACCTGGGTATATGATAATAATAATAATAATAATAATAATATAATGATAATAATAAATAATAATAAATATCATTTATTGACCTTATTTATATTCAGTTACTTTACAAATTTTTATTTTAAAATCATATATTCTACATGTAAAATACCTGGGTATTTTTAAAATCCAAATAATTTTTAATATGAAGTATTATACCACTAGTCAAATACAAAAAAAAAAAAATCACTGTACTGAATGGTGATTCCTATATTATAAATTAGCTAAAATCAGAATTCCCATATCATAGATCAGCTAAAATCAACTGTCTTATTTTATCCTATATTATAAATTAACTAAAATCAGAATTCATATTTGTGCTACCTGTTTGCTGTAAGCATATCTGTTTAAATTCTTACTATAAAAAAAGTGCAAGGTGTTTTCTGACAACATTGTAAATACAAAAGAATCACTGTCCTATATTATAGATCACAGAATAGATTAGCTAAAATCAACTGTCCTATTGTATCCTATATTATAAATCAGTTAAAATCAGAATTCCTTTTTGGTATATCTATTCTTTTGTTTTTACCTGTACAATAAACATATTAATGATTCATTTGAATTGATATTTTCCTAAAAAACAACTGATCTACATATTACTATTGTAAATAAAAAATTTTAAATTAAATATATTAAATATATAGAGAACCAAAATAAATAATGAATAAAAGAACTCATGTTTCCAGGATATATGATTACATAAATAGTTATTTTATTATAAATATTTATGTTTGTAAGATGATCTAGAATAATTTTTTTATTATCATCATCTTGTTATAAATAAGAATTTCTTAATATACAAATTATAAATACTAGGAAATGAAAACCATTATAAGTTCGGAACCAATGGAATGTATCAATTATTACATAATCATTATCTTTTAAACTTAAGAATCATTATTATTCAAATCTTCACTATGTATATAAGTATAAAGTCCTATATTATATTCTAAACAATCAAATTAGATTATCAATTATTATTAGTTAAATATAAAAATTACTTATTATAGATTAGCTAAAATTGAAATTCCTATATCATAGATTAGCTAAAATCTTTTATCCTATATTATAAATAGCTAAAATCAAAATTCTTATTTGTATTATTTATTCTTTTATATTTTACCTGTCACAGGTTAAAAAATTATATTTTAAGCATTTATTAGATACCTATTAAATATCCAATAGGCAGTGTTGTCAAATTTGCATGTTTCCAGCTTTTTTAACTATTTCTGTGTCTCACTATTCCTACCCTTAACCAGCTTATAAATAAATATTAAAACTTTTATAGATATATATAAAAATTAATTTTAAACAACTTTAATCAATAGTTCAAAGTAGATTTTTAAGTAAACTTTTGAGCATTTACATTTTAAAAAAATAATTTTTGTTCTAATATTGTCTCGAAGGTGTCCTTTGACAATACTGCCAATAGATATACAATTGATTTTAAAGTTTAAAAATTTTTCAGTTACTTAATAAGTAATTAATAGATATCCAATAAATATCTGATATATATTCAATAAGTATCTAATAGATATCTAATATAGTTGTAATAAATAATTTTAGTTATAGTTATATATAAAAGTTTTTTAATTTATAATAAAATCATCAAAATATTATTAAATAAATCTGTAAATAATAAATTTATATTATTTGTAAAAGTTTTAATTTTATTTAATTAAAATTAAGAGAATTATTGATATTTTAATTTGTATAGCTATTCAAATTTTAATTACTAATAATTTTTTCAATTTTGATTAAATAAAATTAAAATTTTTACAAATAATATAAATTTTTATTGTTTACAAGTCTACTTAATAACATTTGAATAATTAAGTTATATAATTAAAAACTTTTATATATGACTACAATTACAAATTAATTTTGATTTTATATTATAATGAATTCTGTTAATATCTAATAGGTTATATACTTCCTTAGTAAAAATATTTGTGAAATAATAAAATTTGAAAATAATTGCTAAAATTAAATACTAATTGTAGCATTTAAATTGTACAAATTTTTTTTTATTAGATTTTTTTAAACTAGAATTATTATATATATATTTTGTAATAAATCTGAACATTTATATATAGAGATATTATGCTTCAAATAAAATTGACAAAAAATAATAAATTTATTTCTAAATCATTATTTATATGTAAGAGTTGGAGTAACTCTTATTTAGTTAGTAGTAAAAGTAATGAGAATTCTGAACTAATAAATAAGGTTAAGTATAAATAAAGTCAAAATAATACTTGGTAAAATATTAACACTTTGCAAAAAGTCAAAGTTTATATTTATTATAAATAAATTATTAGTTGGAAAACTAATGAACTTTATTAAAAGCTTATACCTTTATATATATATTTTTGCAATATAAAAATACAATATAAAATAAAAATAAATATATTAAATAATCTTAGATCATATAATCCATCCAAATTAGTTTAGGTATAATTACATATAAATATAAATATAATAAAATAAATAAATAAAATATTAAATTTGATAAATTTGCTTATTTCAAATAATATATAATAAATAGTTAATGAAAATAAATAAAATGATAGATGCCTTCTGAGTTAACTAATAATACAGTTTTAAACTTCAATAAGATTATTATTTTAAACATTAATCATGTCATTGTAGACACAGTATATTGCAGATACAGTATAGAGTGAAGGCACAAAGTAAAAAAAAAAAGAAATTCAAAACATTGCACTATATCACATTCAATGGGTATTAAAAATAGATATAACTATCTTATATAAAATTGTAGTCAAAAATAATATCTACAACTTTAATGATTAATATTTTTTTTGATATATAATAAAAATTTTAATTTTAATTAGATATGAATAAAAAAAATAAAAATTTAAAAAATTTTAAAAAAATAAAAAAATTTTAAAAATAATTATATCAATTGTTTATATTTGAAAAACTTGATTATTTATATTAATTTAATAATAAATGTAATATTAAGTTACTTTAAAACCTGAAATATAGAATATCTTTTATAAAAATTTCAATCTTATATATTGAAAATCGAGAGAATAATATATAATTAAATTTTAAAGTATAATTTTAAAATGTCCAATAATCAACTGTTAATATTAAACTTAATTTGAAATTTTCACAGTAAATATCACTGGTCGAAAATTGATAAAACATATACATATCGGGTACCTGATATGTGCATGGTGTTTCCCTAATATCGGGCATATATCGGGTACCCGATATGTGTAGAAAATATTTTATATATATATCAGGTACCCAATATATATCCGATATTAGAGAAACACCATGCACATATCAGGTACCCGATATGTATATGTTTTATCAATTTTCGATTAGTGTATTCCATATATTAAACTTTAACTATACTTAGTATTATTTTTATTATTATATTAATAGATAAGAAAATTTTTATATAGAGTTCCAATTGGTAATTATTTTTAAATTTTTTTTTGATTTTTAAAAAATAATTAATATAAATTTGAAATATTTGTGAAATTAATAAAATTCAAAAATAATTAACAAAAGTTATAACATATTAAAGTTAATTTTTTAATAATAAAATATAAAAATACTTATAAGTAACTTTAAAAAATAAGACAAAATACATATAATATATAAATTTCATATCTATATAATTTTAAATAAAAGAATAATTAATATCAAATTCAAAGTTAAATTTTCAAAAAATTTATATTAAAAAATTAATTCATCTCAATTTTTTGAACTATTTTTATAACTATATTTGAATTACTAAGTAAATAACTTTGATATATTCTGAAATATATATATTCAAATTTTCATAGTTTTTTGTTATATATTAATTAAATAATTTAAAAAAATAGAAAAAAATTATAAAAAATTTTAATGTTAAATTTTCTCATAATTTTATTGTAAAATAGATATGAAATTTTATAAAAACATTTTTAAAATATTAATAAAAGATAATATTAATTTATTAATTTATTA